TCCTGGATATACTTTCAAATCTTTTCTAGCTCTTACCGTTTTCGAGCTACATCCGGTTGAAAAAAAGGGTTTTTTCGTTTTCAGAGGTCCGCCATTTTGGATTTTTGGGGGGGTTAAAATTTGAAAATGGGAATTTTGGGAATTTCACCGGTAATGTAAGATCCCATACTACAATACTACCAAGTTTCAAGTCTCTAGCACGTTTCTAAGTGGTTCAGATGAGCATACTAAAGTCGGCATTTTTCAATGTTATTCTCCATAAGAATAACATGGGGCTTGTAAAAGTTGTAAAAAACCTTTAAATTTTTACATTAAACCTAAGTTTTGGGGGTTATGGAGTAAAGATACAAAAAAACATTAAATGAGTAAAATATAAAGTAAAGTAAGAACAATACAGAGCATTAATAATATCTGCAAAAAGAAATTATTTAAATATGAAAAAAATAGCGAAAACCGTAAAAAATGTGAAAGAAATTTACAAAATTTTAAAATTAGGGCGTTTTTTGAAGCTGAAGGAATCCGATTTTTGGAAAACGTCCAAGAGGGTTTTGTATAAAATTTAATTTCTGTTCCTGGATATACTTTCAAATCTTTTCTATCTCTTACCGTTTTCGAGCTACATCCGGTTGAAAAAAAAGTGTTTTTTCGTTTTCAGAGGTCCGCCATTTTGGATTTTTGAGGTGGTTAAAATTTCGAAATGGGACTTTTGCAAATCCCACCGGTAATACAAGATCTCATACAACAATACTACGCAAATTTGAAGTCTCTAGCACATTTCCAAGTGGTTCAGATGGGTACACGAAAGTCGGCCATTTTTAATGTTATTCCCCATAAGAATAACATGGGGGGGAAACCCTTAATTTCGGGGGGGGTTAAAATTTAAAAATGCGACTTTTTGGAATTTTCCCGGGGGTTTGGGCCCAAGAACTACAAGTGTGCCAAATTTCAACTCCCTAGCACCTCTAGAAGTGGTCTAGAATTTGTATACCTGAGTCAGTTACATATGCGGCTTTATATATATTAGAGTGTGTCTCCCTATACTTCTTCTTCGCCGCGTTCAGTTGCTCATCTCGTGTAGTGTCCAAAGTTTTCGGACGCCCACGTTTCACTTTCTTGGGTCTGCCGGGACCTTTTAGCGAATTTCCCTATAGGGAAGTAGCTATTACCGTAGGTCTCATGGTAAGACTTAGGCCCGGGACCGATTTACTTTTTCATTTTAATGTCCCCAGAGGCCAAAAACACCATTCGTTCAAATTTTTATATATGTATATATATATAGGTATATATATATAGATTTATATATATATATATATATATATGTGTCCGTGAACACGATAACTTGAGTAATTTTTATCCGATTTTGATGAAATTTGGTTTGAAGGTGTAAGGCGGGATAAACTTGAATGAGTTCGCGATCCAGCATGATCGGACCATGGGAACGGGGGTTTACGGGGGGTTTTATGGGGTAAAAATAGGTTTTTTCCATTTTTGACCCAAAAAACATCAAATTTAGCAATTTCTTTCCAAACCATTTTGTAGAGCTTAAAAAAACAAATAATTTAGTATGTTGAAGCGTTATTATGCGCCTAATGGTTACGGAGAAAATTCCAAAAAATTGTAAATTTGAAATTCCCATGTTATTCTTATGGAGAATAAGTAAACTGTTGTAGTTTGCTCGTTTGAGAACATATTTTGATCAAATTTGGAAAATGTTTTTATTTCTTACTAACTATTCACATTAAAAAAAAAAACAGTTTTACCCTCCCTGATGCAGCAAACCTAAGTACTTGTTAAACTAATTCTATTTAAATCAAGAATAAATGTTATATTTTTAAGTAGACATTTCAGTGTAAATCCAATCAGTCAAATAGAAATTCGCTTAGTCTGCAGATTTGCTGCGGCGGGGGTATTTTGGAATTTTGTACAGTCTGGGAGGGGGGAATAATTGATTGAACATCACTATCCGTACGCTCGATCGGTTGGGCTGCACAGTCAATCGAAAACCTGAGTCTCATGATGCAGTACTGACCACCGACAAACGCGGAATTAACCAATAAAACTGAGGCAAGTGTAGGGAAACTCCCACACTCAAAAACCCTAGCCTTGTTTTTACTAGAATCAGAGTCTCTAAGGCGGGTTTCATTCACGGCGTGTGAATCGAATAAATATAAATTTTCTCCGTGACGCCAAAATGCAACAGTCACTAACTGCCCCGTGAACAGGAACCCGCCGTCGAGAGAATCACCAGGCATGGTCTTCTCCAAAGTGGATGACAGATATTTGACGGCCTCATCCAAGCCATCAACGGAAGTAGGGTACAACCCGTTGCACACATGCGAGATTTCCTCGATGGAAACCTGATTTTCTCCAATATCAAAACTCCTTGACAGTTCCTCGGGGTACAGGTACCTGTCAACAAGGCAATACTCACGGCGAGATTTAGTATACAACCGATCGCCATCCGTGAGTATTTGATCGATGGCAGGTGTACTGAAACCACCGCAGAAAACTTGCCAGGCGAGAGCACAGGCTGCATTAGCCATGCACTGAGCGTTGTTGCTCTCGGTGAATCTTGGGTCTCCCTGGTGGAAGGACCCAGTAGCAACGCAAGATAAATCCATAATATATAGCAATAAAGAACGCAAAAACGGCAAAATGAAAGTCCTAATGGGATTAAGCGATCGTGAAACTTTATCGTGTATAGTCAAATTTAGTAGCAAAAATAAGAGCGAGAACCAACTCATTATACTTCATTACCGACTTACGCGTACTACTTTACCCAAAATCCGCCATAGAAAATTTTGTTTGTGGCGAAAACTTTAAAAATGTCACTTCAAGGAGTTTTTATTAAACGTAGGCAGCGTTATAATTATAAATATATGTACGAAAAGTCGTTTTAAAAAAATAAACCCATTTAAAAAATTGAGGAATTTAAAAATTTTTGGAAGTATTGCGTTTTTTAAAGGGCAAGGAGTGCGATTTTTGGAAAACGCTTAATAGTATTTTGTAGAAAATTCAATTCCTGCCCATGAAAAATCTTTCAAATCTGTTCTAGCTCTTACTGTTTTTGAGTTATAGCAGTTTAAAAAAACGTGTTTTGTTAGTTTTTTATCGTTTTTATATATCCGCAATTGTGGTTTTTTGGGGGGGGTTAAAATTTAAAAATGTGACTTTTGGAAATATCACGGATAATTTAGGATCCCATACTATAATACTACCAAACTTAAAGTCCCTAGTACGTTTCTAAACGATTCAGATGAGCATACCAAAATCTTCTAATTTCATAGTTATTCTCCTTAAGAATAACATGGGGCTTGTAAAAGTGGTAAAAAACCTTCAAATTTTGACATTAAACCTAAGTTTTGGAGGTCAAGGAGTAAAGCTACGAAAAAACATGTAATGAGTAAAATTTAAAGTAAAGTAAGGAAAATACAAAGCAATAATAATATTTGCAAAAAGGAATTATTTAAGTATGAAAAAATAGCGAAAACTGGAAAAATTTGAAAGAAATTTACCAAATTTTGAAAGTAGGGCGTTTGTTGATGCTGAAGGAGTGCGATTTTCGGAAAACGCCTAAGAGGGTTTTGTATAAAATTTAATTCCTGTTCCTGGATATACTTTCAAATCTTTTCTATCTCTTACCGTTTTCGAGCTTCATCCGGTTGAAAAAAACGTGTTTTTTCGTTTTCAGAGGTCCGCCATTTTGGATTTTTGGGGAGGTTAAAATTTGAAAATGGGACTTTTGCAAATTTTACCGTTAATGGAAGATCCCATACTACAATACTACCAAGTTTCAAGTCTCTAGCACGTTTCTAAGTGGTTCAGATGAGCATACCAAAGTCGGAATTTTTCAATGTTATTTCCCGTAAGAATAACATTGGGGGGGAAATTCTTAAATAAGGGGGGGTTAAAATAAAAAAATGCAACTTTTTAGGATTTTCCCGGGGGTTTAGCACCAAGATGGACAATCGTGTCAAATTTCAGATCTCTAGCTATTCTAGAAGTGCTCAAACATTTGTATCACCAGTGAGTGAGTTACATATGCGGCTGTATATATATTAGATGTATATATATTAGATTCTCTTGCATATGAATACTATTAATGGTGAAATTACAACAAATGACGGGCAATTTTTATTAACTCTTGTTGTTTAACAATGGTACATGGAGAGTAACAAGGTATGCGGCACAGGTTTGCCAATTGAGCGGAGCGTTCAAAGTCGTAAAACAAAATAATCTTGTTTCTAAATTCAAAAATAAATTAGCATTTTAAAAATTATATGCTGAAATTAGCGTCTTTGAGACTATTTTGAGACATTAATTTAACAAACCTAGCTCGATAATCCAGTATTTATAAAACCTTAGTTTATAAAGTGGCTTTATGTCCGTCAATGGGGTCAGGTCAGGTTGCTTAGCTTTACAACACACACGTAACTCTATTTTTTGTGTCCATGCCAACATTTCACATCCAACACCCGAAATGTATGGTAAACTATTTTGAAGAATGCCTGATAACTTATGCCGTAGAGCAATTTTGTTCGTTACATTATTGTTGAAGGCAAATGAAAACAAAACAATGTCACAAAAAATAGGTTTATATTAATTCATTATACTACACAAAGTTGTTAGTTTATACATATTGCAAGAAATTGGTCTGTTTATTACTACTGTTGGAATTTGTATTTTATTGAAGAAATAATTCAAAAACTAATGAAAAATTAATAACATGTGTCAAAAAAGTTCATAAAAAAACAGTATACTGTTAATACTGTTCGATGAAATGGCGACCATACATAGTAGGTATTTAAAGCCAAGTATGAATGGAGATGAGTGTAGGATGAGTGGCGCGATCTTGTAGTCTTGTTAGTGACTAAGGCCGACATTCCTTAGACACAGCTGTTAATTAATAGCCCACACAGCTAATGGCAACTAAGGGAGCTACAGTTTATAGTGGAATCCGAACCACATTTTTTCCTTTGTATATACGAATTGGTCTAATTATCAGGATAGTACTGCGGATAGTCGTAGTACTCACTCGTGCGGACATTAATCCACACCAGGGAGTATCACATCCACAGTGCATGCCTATAAATATCCACAATTCGTGACCTCCTAGTAGCTGGATTACAGGACGACGCTACCCGTCCCAGTCATAAAATCATAAAAGTAAACTATCTTACTCATATTTTCTCGTACTAATAAAATTTTTCTTATATACCTTATCTGGCTTCTAGGGTGGGCAGCTGACCCCCCCCCCTGCCCCTCTCTGGATACGCCGATGGATGAGATATCTTGAGCCATTATTGTGTGACGAGTTTCCAAAATTTGCACTGCTCAATAACATCATAAACATTAATCAGTATAATTTACCTTTTTCGGTACCCTAAGGTGTCAATAGTAGAAACAATAATTAAACATAACATTATTTGTGTAGGAGAGTATTGAAAGGCTTTTTAAGTACAAAAGTTGTTTTAAACGTCACTTGACATGTTGGAGCAAATTCCAATTAAACATACAACAAAACTACATACTTATTGGTATCGTAATGTACATGTATTAGAATATACTAGAGGTCGTCCAATGGTCGAAAACTCGACCAAAAATATGCAATGTACAGACTTTTCTGTATTCGTCCCACGCTGTAAATAAAACATGTGATTGGAATTTCTTCCATTTGTTATGATTTTCTGTTTATATTTTGTTGTTATTTCGTCACCAGCTTGGCAACCCATAAGACCCATGTAATTTTTTTTTTAATTTTAAATTCATTTTTTGTGCTTATTTTTGAGCCTATTTTAATTTATAAAGGGTTTCTGCACATCTAGAGAAAAATATCTTTCTAACAGTATGCGTAGATTTTCCCTGCCATGCACAGGAGCTGAGAAAAAAGGTTTTAAAGAAATATGCTTGCCTATTAAGATATTTTAAATACTAAATCTAAAAATTTACTACAATATCACATAAGTATCACTTCAATAATACACTACAATTAGGTGGTGTTGGTAGAAGCGTCCAAAAAATAGAGCAGAGTTTTATGAGCATTATTTTGTCATTTAGCTTATATCCAAAAAATTTTGTTATTACACCATAATTACAATATTTTAAATGAAGTTAATATTATTAATGAATGATAATATTATATTATAATGAAGAGATAATTATTAAAATACTATTCACCAGTGAAGGGAAGTAAAAAAAAACCTCATCTTTCTTGTAAAGGAATTATAATTTTTATAGTGAAATTCTCATACAGGGGATAAGCTATTACTGTAGGTCTCATGGACAGATCCAGACCCAGGACCGATTTACCTCTTCATTTTAACTAGCATCTTACATCACTTTGTGACATCAAAATCCGGTTGATAAGGATTAAAACGATAATGTCTCATCATATCCCTATTATGCATTGCGAGCCCTATTATTTTCATTGCGTACACGATCTCTTCGATCTTACATACTATGAAGACACAAAATCCTCTCACAACACAATATCTAACCTAAGTCATTTTCTTCTTTACATTTCTTCTTCTTCTTCTTTAATATTTCTTTTGTATTGACTTGAGTAGTTTTGAAAAACAGTATTGTTACTGAAAACCGCTTGAAATAAAAGACGTTTTATTGTTATTTTATACAAATAACATTACAACATTTTACTTAACTGACACATCGACTACAGATAACTCAATTTTTGAATGGATGTAAACAAAATTGTATAATGACCATCTATTTTGATGTAAACAAATGTAAACTTGAAAAAGTTCAGATGATTGACAACAGAATTCAGCACAAACTATGAAATTTTAAAAGCCTATAGGATAAAGGGCTTTTACGGGGTACCATCCAAACCCGCAAATGGCACATTTAGAGGATAAGAGCTTTAAACTGATACCCAATATATCTATAAAAATATATATTTAGGAGTCCATTTGCTGCACACAAAAATCCAACAAACTCTTTTTATTAATATAGATGTCCCCAGTGGCTAAAAACTGTTTGTTAAAATTGTAATACAAAATATCTATACATATATACAGCATAGGCCTAGCCTACTTGTCTGTGAATGTGATAAACTCAAGTAATTTTGGTCAGATTTTTATGAAATTTGGCTTGAAGCTGCAGGGTGGGATAAAGTTGAATGAGTTTTGGGAACAAGCAACATAATATCCCTCCGAATATCCTCCCATAATATCCCGTCAAAGAAACAGGATATTATGTGGTTTTTAAATGTTCAAACATTTTATTTTTTATTTTCACCCTTAAAAGATGAAAATTTCCAAATTTTATTACAACCGTCGTGTAAGAACTTAAAATAAACTACAGTAAAAAACGTATTTAAAAAACCCTTTAAAGCTTATCAGTTTGTGTAGTAAGTTAAATATGTCTTTTAATAAATTATACGATAAACATTTTTTTATAAAAATAATATCAATTGCAAGTGGTAAGGATCATCCTAGATGTAATTTTTTTTAATATTACACATTTTTGCTATTAAAGTAATCTCAAAACAATACTTTACCAAACAACAGGTAAATTATTACAATAACCACTATAAAATGTAGAAAGAGATTAGAAGGGTTGTCAATTGGATGCTGAAAGTTGATGAAACTAGATGAGCTGCATTGAAACGGGATCCAAAACCACCACCATACAGGAGTTTGGCTCCTTCTGTAAAAGTAAAAGCTGTTTTATATAGTAGGGCATGGATAAATAAAAATTGGTTTTAATATTTATAACATCAACACCACACATACATTGGCAGGCCAACTGCTTTCAACTTGTTGTACATCGATCTTGTGAGATAAAACCAATTAACCAAAAAACTAGGGGCCCCCTTCAGCACAATGTGCTGCAATCTGCAATACCAATTGTTATAATATGTAGGCTTAGGCTATCAAAGATTTAATTTAAAAACTAAAGTAAGTTTCAATTATACATAGAGCACACTTTTGAGTGAATAAAACTGCTCCATTTACTGATCAATTTTAGTATTTGGGGTATGATTATGAATTGCAACTAAATTACCTCCAATATTTATTAATTACAGTATTTTCAAAAATATTTAAATTTAATTAGGCCTAAATATAAATTAGTGAAGAAGAAAAACTGTATTCAAAAATATTATTCTAAAATGAAATGGTGTGTAGGTAGGAAATATTTCCTATGTACTGTCCAGGTGTGAAGTGGCATTGTTGAAAAAAAAACTAAAACAAAGGAAGTAAAATGTGCTTGTGGTGGAAGATCTAGATAGAGATGGATGTGGGAGCCAAGTCTCCAGTGATTAAATAGTCAAAAGTCTAGAAAATTAATATTCATCATAACATATAGAAATATCAATAATAAAGAAACCTCAAGAAGAAGATAAGTATTCAACAGAAATTGGTAATTTGGATACCCCCCAGTCGAGAGAGGGGTCCGGGAAAAATAATAGTTGTAAACTAGCGTTTTTATGCAATCTAGACATATTAATTTTTTAAACATAAATTGATTTTTAATTGAGTTTTTATTATATTTAACCTATTTGATTAAGGTGCGCTACATGAATTTAAATTTGTTACCGTTTTACAGAAGAATATTAAAAATGTAGGCTAACTAAAATAGTTTCTTAATAGTTTTGCCTGCTTTTCATTTTGCTCACTTTGGCCTAACTTCCATTTCTTCCCAGGCCGCTTACAATTATCATCACTCATTCTTCAGGACTATCTTAGTTAATTCAACTTCAGATATCCCCGACAAGAGATTTTGCCGGGATCGAACTTCAGATTTTTCCCGAGTCCCTGGGGTCAAGACCTTTAATTTAAGACCTCTACCATTTTTCTGCGACTTACCAGACGTCCACAATTTTCTGGTAAAAATTGTGTCTTACAGAATTATATATAAGGATGCTGCTGTGCCTCGGAAATATAAATGTGTATGTTAGTAAAAGTTAAACTTTATATTGTATATTTAATTGATGGTTTACGTTTTTACTTGACCATGCGGGTAGGTTTATTAATAATCAAAAGTAAAAACAATATGACGAGCCTTATCATTGTTGTATGCAGATGTGCTTGCAACTCGTAAAATGTACATTTTCATTTTATGATTTAAATCAATGTCGAAGGGGGCGCAACTACCTCTTGGGCCCAAGGCGAATCACTTACTAACCGCCGGCCTGTTTATGTTGTTAGTAATTTTGTTTTTTCCAATTTAAAAATAATAAGATTGTGGACCTTATTTAAAATATAACTCTAAAACACTATACACGACACATAATATTTCAACTTAATTTATTTTAACTGATAATCTTACCTTTTTCATTATCGGCTCCACATAGCTTATATGATATCCGTGTTTTGCGATTGGCAGGGAATAGATATCCAGAAATGTATAGACTAGGTGATTCAAGTTTACCAACTGACAAAAGCCGACTGAAGTCTTGTTCCAGTCTATTGGCTTCAGGGCCTGAATAATAGAATAATCCATTGAAACATGTTCTGCTTACTGTAAGGTTTTATCTATTCATTAGTTCATGAAGTAAGTTTATAAGGGTGTCACAAAAAAGTGTGATGGGCTATACAGGACCTAATTCTACATGCAAAAATAAGTCAAAAATGAAGAATCAAATTTTTTGGATTTCGGCTTAGTTTAGCCGTAATCCGCCATTTTGTTTTTTGGGGAAAATATTTATTATTTCAAAATCCCTTTGAGATATTTTTACGAAACTTGGCAAAATTGTTTACACTATAGTAAGTAACATTTATAAGAAAAAAATATTATTTTAACTTTCCAAATTTAAAAATGGCTGCCGTTTGAATTTTTTAATGCCAAATTTCATGAAAACCGGTACCTAAATCAAAATTTTGTAAGACACAAAAGTTTTAGTATTTATTATGACAAATCCAACAAAACAAAAATGAATAAAATCGGTTCATAAATAAAGAATCTGTGTTTATTTTAGTAATTTAGACTGAAATTACTTAATATGTTACATAAATTATTACATTACATTAATTAATACATTTTAATATTAATAATTTCAGTCTACATTACTAAAATAAACACAGCTTCTTTATTTATGAACCGATTTTATTCATGTTTGTTTTGTTGGATTTGTCATAATAAATACTAAAACTTTTGTGTCTTACAAAATTTTGATTTAGGTACCGGTTTTCATGAAATTTGGCATTAAAAAATTCAAACGGCCGCCATTTTTAAATTTGGAAAGTTAAAATAATAATTTTTTTCATAAATGTTACTTACTATAGTGTAAACAATTTTGCCAAGTTTCGTAAAAATATCTCAAAGGGATTTTGAAATAATAAATATTTTCCCCAAAAAACAAAATGGCGGATTACGGCTAAACTAAGCCGAAATCCAAAAAATTTGATTCTTCATTTTTGACTTATTTTTGCATGTAGAATTAGGTCCTGTATAGCCCATCACACTTTTTTGTGACACCCTGTATACCAAAAAGGAATAGAAATTTGTTTCTGAAATGTCTCTATGCGTTGAAAAATGTAAACAAAGTACATTGCCAATTTGTATGGTAGAATTGGAGTTGTTTCTACATTGCAATAAAATTATGTATTCTTTCAATATTCCACGTTTTATAGCTCAGAGGAAAAATTCTCTATTTTCAATCGCTTTTATCTGTATGGATGTTTATTAATGCATGTTTATTCAGTTCACAGGTAAAAGAGACACACAGACCCATGTCCTCTATATAGATGAATATATTATTCACAACTGCTAGTCTAGTAGGATTAATATGGTTCAAAAACCTTTAATCCGTCAATGTGATCAAATGTCACCGATGAGCGGCGACCGGTTTCAGCCCAGCTGTGGGGCCATCATCAGGCGATGAAGGAACATAAATATCACTCCGAAGAGGTCGTCATAAAGTCTATAAATACGTCACGAGAAAAACACATAGATACATTATTTACAAACACACGTGTGGCCACAAATTAACTGCGCGGCGGACGGTACGTGTACATTAAGTTGCTAGTCCAGACTCCTCCTGCTAGTTCTGGACTAGCAACTTAATGTACGCGTACCGTCCGCCGCGCAGTTAATTTGTGGCCACACGTGTGTTTGTAAATAATGTATCTATGTGTTGTTTCTCGTGACGTATTTATAGACTTTATGACGACCTCTTCGGAGTGATATTTATGTTCCTTCATCGCCTGATGATGGCCCCCAGCTGGGCTGAAACCGGTCGCCGCTCATCGGTGACATTTGATCACATTGACGGATTAAAGGTATTTTAACCTCTAGATTAATTTAAATTTGTGATCAGGAGGCAAAAAACAACAGAAATGAAGTAATATGGTTCGAAACTGGACCTAGCTCCTTGATTGTTGGGCTTTTAATAAATGGCCACGGCCTTCATTCTATACTCATCCTTCACTAATTTTTTTGTTAAAATACACACCTAGGTGGCATCCCCATCTCAATTGATAATAATAATAGTTAAGAATCTCATTTTGTATGATCATAATTACATTTTTTTTGCAATTCCTAGCATTTTTTTACACATTTTCCTTTCTTAGTTATGTTATAAAGCTAAGAAATCAAAACTATAACTCAAAATAACTATCAATTTTTGCTTAGTATACGTAAGCCTTGTGACTGAAAACATAGTGAAAGGAGTCGACTAAAAAGTCCAGCTATATGACAACCCTATACAATTTGCAATCATCTATTGATGAGGTGAAAAAGCAGAGAATTGATCTCTCAATGTTATCAGCCAATACCCCTTCAATGATTTCCATGTATTTTATTGTTGAAGCAATTCTCTTTATACCTTTAAAATGGATAAGTAGCTGAATACAAGAGCCGCCATGCAGGATCTTTGTGCGCCTGGTGTCAATAGTCAGCAGCCACTCCGGGACTCCCATCACTCTCCTCACCTCCTCCAGGAACTGGGACCTGGACAACAGGCAACAACGAATGTATATGCCAAGTTTGTGCTTCTGGTTTAATCCTCTGTGGGTCGCAATGTACCATTTTGATACAAGCAACAACCTTTTTGGCCGCCATTGTTTCATGCACACACTGATCGCTATCTCCTCACTAATGAGCACCCTTCCCAATCCCAAACCAGCCAGTCAGAACCAGCTTCACCTTGTCTAGGGCATTTAAGAAAAATTGTATCACGGAAGGTTAAGGGAGTGGATGATCAGCAAGACATGATAAAACTGGATCATATACAAATAAATAATTATAATTGCAATTATTATAAAATATCAAAGTCAAGTATTGATGGTATCAAAAATCACTATGCAGAACCAAACAATCTTTAATCAGTGGTTTTACACAGAGCTCTGCAGAATGGTCTAAGCAGTTTAACTCTCTTAGAACTTCATCTGTGAGGGGGGAATGTGGACATTATTGGGCTTAATGTCATCGGCCACTCATACCGTTTCAGTCACTTCAATGGCTTCGACCAGACAGCATCGAGGTTATGCTGTATGTGCCTATTTCAATAATCAAAACTAAATGTCAGTAGTTGCGACACAAAAAGCTTTTTGCCTACAGTTTTTAATCAAGTAAACACAATTTTCCACGTTTTCATTGACCTAAGTTGTCCATGTTTCTACTCTAAAAGTTCTACTACTTTATTACAAATGTTTAACCCTCCATTGACATTGTGTTTGCATTGGATGGAAAAAACTGCCGACAAAAAGCTGTTTGTTGGTGAGTGAACCGTAGCTTCATAGATTTGTTGATCTGTCTGATGTGATGTTAGGAAGGTGTTCGACAGCTTCAGTTCATAGTTTGAAGAGTGATTGTCCAAAGACATTAAAAATATGTTTTCTTCAACTCTTTAACTTATAAAACTGGCTGTCCACATTTATTCTTTTTATCAACTTATATGAACACGGTTCTGTAATAAGAAGTTCAAAATTTTGTGCAGCTTTTATGTGTACCGTAACATTTTTAACATAACAACATTTTAACATAACATTTTTAACGTAAATTTTTTAACTTTAAAGTTTAAAAATGTTTATTTGGACATTTGAGTTGAAAAACTACTTTTTTCAAAAACATTTATGGTCTATACATCATAAATAAAACTCACTGTACCTATATGAAAACTAACATTGTTTTAAACTAATACATAACCTAAAGGACACAAATGCACAAGCAACACTATAAAATGAGCAGATTACTTACACAATGAACTTTGGAGGTCGTCTAACATTGACATACTTGATAGTATCTTTGTCAGGCTCTATGTTTGCGCAGGCAAACTTGTCTGGTCCTCTATTTTTATCTAGAATCACTATTGATTTTCCCATTGCAGATACTGTACCCTCTAAAGCGAATAAAAATATACGTTAGCATTTAATTGGAAATATTATATGACATAGTTTTAATTTAACAAAACTAACACACTATTATTAAATATTTAATGCATACATCACAGTTCATTACCTTAACTTTATAGAATCTCTTAATACACTAGCATGTACCCGTGCTTTGCAACGGGGAAAAAATTTAATAGTGTTGCACTCTGTTGTTAAACCCTCTGTAATGTTTTAATACATTTGAGCATCATAGAACCCAACTATGTTTAATTTAAAACAGCTGTCAATATTCTTTGATTCTTTTGAAATATGAATACCCAAAAGATAAACTAGCATCTCTTGGAGTGGGGGGCTCTACGAGGGAATACCATGATTTCTTCGAAATTGTTAGGAATATCTTAGTGTCAGGCTAAAAACAAAATCTATACCAGCCACACTGTTCTGGAAAAATTAGTTTTTTTGTTAATTTTAATAAAAATTTTGTTAATTTTGTTTTTAAGTGTGAATTAAATTGGAATATTTTTAACATTGGTTTAGGTAGCCAAGACAGCATTACGAAAATGTAAATAAATGAATTGTTACATATGCTTATAGTCAGGTTGGGTAGCAGGAAAATATTTCAGTTCTGGCAGAGAGGCTGCAATTTTAGGTGGTTATAGTATACAAGTTTCTGAACCTAAAACCGCCCAGACCCCAATTTTTAAGGACCTCGGTCGTCCGTAATGACATCATCAAAATGGCGGCCGTATGAGGATGCTGGGTCCCCATGAATTGGCTATAACGACCGAATGCCTGAACCGATTTTCATGAAATTTGGCACACAAGTGCTTGAATACATTATGTCGACCTGGGTTGAAAATGGTCAAGTTTCATCAAGTCATTTCAAAATGGCGGCTGTTCAAAACTAAAACAATTATGAGGAAAATAATTGTGAATTGTTTTATACAGGGTGAGTTTTAAATGAGTTCCCCCCTACTTTTTTATACATTTCTTAAGATATCAACTCCGAACCACGTCAGATAATTGTAGAGTAGCGATTACTTCATTTCGACTAGTTTTTATTTTATCCGTTTTTTGTTATCAAACTTTCTTGATAAAATATAGGCCTAACAATTATTTTGATTTAAAATGTCAATATTTCAAAAACTAAACATGACAATGAAAAACGAGTTGCGGCATTGAATTCAACATAAAAAAGTAGTTCAAAATGATGGGTCACAACACCACCTTCATATTTAAAATAATTTATCACATTTCAAAATGGCGGATCCAAGATGGCGGCTGAAAAAAATACATCCGCCATAACCGAGTGAAAATAGGTCAAAAATGAATGGTGGTGTCCACTTATCTTTATCTAGCACTATTTTGAGATTATGGCCTTAGTTTGTAAATGCACAATGTTATAATGGACTAAAAATAAAGTTATAAAAAGTTCTCATAACTTTAGAATGGATCAACATTTTTTTAAACGGATTGCAACATTGTATTCAGCGTAATGGTTTTGTTTGAAACGATGGGTCACAACCCTATCTTTACATTTGAAAAAATAACTTTGTATCCAAGATGGCGGCCAAAAATGAAAACCTAGTCAAAATGAAGTACTTGCTACTCTACAATGATCTGACATGGTTCAAAGTTGATATCTTAAGAAATGTATAAAAAAGTAGGGGGGAACTCATTTAAAACTCACCCTGTATAAAACAATTCACAATTATTTTCCTCATAATTGTTTTAGTTTTGAACAGCCGCCATTTTGAAATGACTTGATGAAACTTGACCATTTTCAACCCAGGTCGACATAATGTATTCAAGCACTTGTGTGCCAAATTTCATGAAAATCGGTTCAGGCATTCGGTCGTTATAGCCAATTCATGGGGACCCAGAATCCATACGGCCGCCATTTTGATGACGTCATTACGGACGACCGAGGTCCTTAAAAATTGGGGTCTGGGCGGTTTTAGGTTCAGAAACTTGTATACTATAACCACCTAAAATTGCAGCCTCTCTGCCAGAACTGAAATATTCTGCCACTATATGCAGCTATACGACCCCACTATTATAAAAATAATTCATCTACACAGTAGGCCTACAGTGGCAAATTACTAAATACAGTACAAAAGAAAAGGACATTCCCATAAATACCATTTAGCTAGCATTGGTTATTTAATACACGTGGTGTGTTTTATTAAGAAATGGAATAATTACGACTGTTCAAAATCCTTAAAGTATTATGCCGCAAAAGATTTTACATCAGTGCTGAACTAAAAGTATTGACGAAAGGGACATTCTCTAGTTTTTGACAATACGCCACCGGAATGGGCGCATTGTTTGACGATCCCATAGATCATAAAATAGAAATGATATGGATCATAAACAAACAAATTAACTGAAAATAAACATGTTTGTTTTATTATTTCAATGAAAATGTCAAAAAAACGACCAAAACACATGTAGAGATTATTAGTATTCGATTTCATCCAGTGACGTCATTCTTTTTATGTTTTTTATACATACTGTTTCTGTTCTAATATCCGTGGACGATCCCATTGTTGAGGCGTTCCACGATCAAATAACTGCTTGTCGCTACCAGAAAGCACTTAATATTCGCAACTCGCAACAATGCTGGTCAACAGCTGAGATGTTAAATATTATCACAAGTTTTTGTTATTGAATTTTATTGTAGATATTATCAATATTGATTGTTCGTCTGTATGGAAAGATGTATTGTCTACCGAAGAGAAATTGATGGCTTTAAAACTTAATTAATCATGGCAAAATTGAAAATGGAGACGATTTACCCTCAAAACAAATAAGGTACGGTATATGATTTTATATGTTAACTAGAGTTCCGAATTAATAGTTTTTTTTTTTTATTAACATGATTGTTTTGTTAAGACATACTTTAAATGTGATTCAGTATAAATCTAACCTCTTCACACTTGTATAAATATTCTCTAGATTCAAGAGCGTAAAGTAAAGGCAATGACATTTTTTGTCTCACAAGCCCTTAAATTCAGCCTTTTGAAACTACATTATACATCTGAAAACCACATCTTAGACTTAGAGTATTCAAAGTGTTTATTTCCAGATTTTACTAACTATTTTGCCGTTTATGTTAATTCTACATATGTATAAGCCTATGTTTTTTTTTTCTAACATCTCCCAAAAATTTAAGACCACGAACAATACTCGATCCCCAGGTACTGTTATTTAAATAGGGAATAAATCTGACAATTTTTAGGGAATATTTTTAGTATGAATCTCACCAAGTAAATAGAAATTTGCTTAGTCTGCAGGTTAGCTTTGGCGGGGGTATTTTTAATTATAATTGTTGGGATGGATTGTTTTAAGGTTTTCTATTACTGTACTAGATTAATTTTATAGTTATTCCCTAACAATATAAAATATAGTATGCACTTAGTTAGGTAGAACTGTATGTTCTACCTATGTGTCCTACCTATGTATGTGTCTGTATGTTCTGTGAACTGTGTGTGTGTTTATTGACAAAGTCCTAGACTATGTTTTATTAAGTAGTACTGGCCGCTACCCTTGTTTTGCAATAGAGTAAGGATGAGGAAGAGAAAATGTTGTTTTTTTTTTAAATGGCTGTTAAAATCATAGGTACCTCTAGTTTTCACTGATATTTATTCTAACTGATGGCCTTTAAAATGAGATGTCACTTGATGGGGCTTGAAATTAAAATTTTTTAGCTGCTCCCAAAATACCCCATTTTGGGATCCCGAGCAAAAATGTCATACCGACCAAAAAGTACTTTTAGTTTTAGTTATGGTAACATTGAGCTTAGTTTTCCTGGTACAATCCATTAAAAAGTTGGTAGGGGATATTGATGTCTATTTTTAAGTGGGGTTTCTCAGGGTCATGAAAAATAAAAAAATTGCCGCCATTCTGTAATAGTTAAGATAGAGATCTCTAGTGTTCGGCTGTAGTGATGTGTCAAAACCGAATCTCAAATCTCAAAACCAAAATTAGGAAAATTTTCGGTTTCGAGATTCGATCACCAAGTTTTGAGATTCAATGTAGTAATGAAACAATTCAATTTTATTCTGAACTTCAAAAGGTATCTTAAATACTATATCTGGTACAATTCAGTTTCACATCAATATTTACTAAACACAAAGAAATATTGACCACTAAATTAATCTAATATTCATGTTTATGTTGGTGTTAGAAGTTTAATTTTTTGTTGTTGTTGTTGGTTGTTTATGAAAGATTATGTTGTATTGGGTTTTAAGATTATCAGTCACATTCACATATTCATGTTATGTCACGGTCAGGAGTCGATCTCTTTCAGTTTTGATTGCATACTTAACATTTTATGATTATGTGTATTTTTTGTAACCTTGACCTTTGTAACCAGCTAAGTAAAAAAGCTTTGCGTTTAGGTTTTGAGATTCAAGATTTGGGATTCGATTTTTTAAAGTTTCGGTTTCGGTTTTGAGATTCGAAATTTCTGGTTTTGACCATTACTATTCACCTGTACTTTTTTCAACTGATGGTTTTAAAATGAAGATTCACCTGATGGGGCTGTACATTTTAAATTTTTAAGCTGCCCCAAAATGCCCAATTTTGGGGTTTTGGTCAAAATTGGGATGCCAACAAAAAAGTGTACTCTTTTATGCCATATAGATGTTTCTAGTATTTGGTTTTACTAGTGTAACCCATTAAAGAGTTTTGCCAAACCGTGTAAATAGTGATTTAAAAAGTATTACAAAATTTAAACAAAATTGTGTTGTTTGTGAGTAATTCCACTATGACAGTTATGATTACCGAGAGGGAAGTTAGGATCAGAGAAGACCCGTTTGCGGCCGCCAATGTCTATTGTACCCAGTCGTCCTGACAAGTCTCCCACATAGCACCGGAGAGGATGGTCGGAACCACACTCCTGCTGGTACAGCTCTTGCTGTCAACATACAGATACAGTAGCAAACCTTACAATGTTACACCACAAAAGGTATTAAATATATCCAAATACTGGCATGCTGGTATTTTGTATATTATAAACTATTCTTTCAGCCTTAAGCTCATCTATTACAACTAAATACAGAGTTTTATATGTATTCTGAATATTATGATGTTATAAGCTACAAACTGAAAAACTGGAGTAAGGTTTCAAACAGTAAACTTGTCAATATATCAGTTGGTACCTGCCATCTGCAAATCTCCAGACCACAATAGCTTTTACCAATTATCAGTTTACTAATTGTTATTAAAGTGGTGGCTGGGTAGCTGGATAGCTATGATATCATCTAAGGGGATGATGGTACTTTGGTTGAAGACAGATTGTAATGAGAAAACTGCAGTTACTGTAGCCGAGTAACGAGATAGCCCCTGGAACTTGGCCTAGCAATTTTTTGACGGCCTTTACCATTGGAAACCGGCAAACCATTGGAAACATAGGCCTACACTCAAAATGTTTTAAAATATTTAGCCAGGAAAAAAAAGCAAAAATTTTAAAAAAATAGACATACATTCTAATTATAACAAACAACTTTTTAGAAATTCTTTCTTGGAGTATCATTATTAATTTATTAAAAACTAATATTGTTTTGTGTGTTAATTCGTTAATTTTCAATTGCCATTTTTATACAAACATTAGGTAATTAAGTACTATATTGTATTAAAATATACAATTTAAAATTAACAAATAAATTTTGTTAATAAACACCTTTTTCTTCTTGAGGTTGTTAGAAAACTGCAGTTACTGTAGCCGAGTAACGAGATAGCCCCTGGAACTTGGCCTAGCAATTTTTTGACGGCCTTTACCATTGGAAACATAGGCCTACACTCAAAATGTTTTAAAATATTTAGCCAGGAAAAAAAAGCAAAAATTTAAAAAAAATAGACATACATTCTAATTATAACAAACAACTTTTTACAAATTCTTTCTTGGAGTATCATTAGTAATTTATTAAAAACTAATATTGTTTTGTGTGTTAATTCGTTAATTTTCAATTGCCATTTTTATACAAACATTAGGTAATTAAGTACTATATTGTATTAAAATATACATTTTAAAATTAACAAATAAATTTTGTTAATAAACACCTTTTTCTTCTTGAAGTTGTTAGGTCTCCACTCTCCACAGCTGGTATTGGCCTTTTCCACTAAAATCTTCCTTTTGGACTTAAACTTCTTCCACTTAAATCCCATTTCTTTATAAGAATATGACAGAGAGTCCATTCACCCCATTTGAATTCTCTCTCTCAAAACTGGTAAAATCTTACCACAAGTTGGGAAGGTATTTTAAGTTATAAAAATAAGTTCCTTTAACTTGACAAAAACATAAAAATACACAATCGTTTGTTTTGTTTTTAGCATGCCTGCTGTCAGGAACCAGTAAAACGCCTTCAACTTTCCAGCATGTGAGTGAAAATGTTTTCATGTCCCTGGCCTTTTACTTTGTAGATACTGGATTTTTAGTTTGTTATTATGTGTTTTAATATTTTTTGGGACGGGGGCAACATGTTACACACATTTATTTGGTTTTAAATAGGTTCTAGGTATTTTTTTCGTATTTTTAAAGTCTCGAAATTCACGACCATGACATGTCCCTAGGGTACATTTTCCAACTTTCACGCTGTTTTTAGACTAATTATTCATGCCGAAATATATAAAGCCATATTTTTATGACATCAATAGTTACAAAAAAGGAGCATATTATAATTTTATTGTCATTACAAACTGACAACCATGACAAAATGAGTCTGTCCCTCGATTTGGCGTCACGACCATTTGAGAAAAAATTGCAACTTTGGAGCACGACAGTGGCAAGCCTGGCTTCGATTGCGTCAGTTCGTTTTAGAGACTAGTTCGGGGTGTACGTCAAGTTTGTTGTGCCGGTCGTTTTGTGTTGAAAGAAGTAGTTACAAGATTAATAAAGGTAAGTTTGTGTTTTTTGTAATTTTGGTGTGTCCATGACCATACGTAGTCATTTGATGAAGTAGACGTGGTTTTAATTTTTGTTGATATGATATTTTAATTGCTACATTAACCTAGAAGTCCACTTTGTATCCTCGAACATGAGGCGCAGGGCTACCGCCAGAACAGAGCCAAAAAACACGTAATGTCACGACCAAAGTTTCACGACCATCGCGGGTTTTTTCACGACCAATCCAGCCTTATGGATTATACTGTGTTTGGTCGTGACAATAACTTAAATATCATTGTAAATTGAACAGTTTAGTTCAATTGAAACACAAATTTTTATTATATCTAGCAGTATAATTGAAGGATAGTTTAGAAAGATTTATATTGTTCAAGACAATTCACGACCGTACCGCTTGTCGACCATCACGTTGATGATTTCTATCATAAAAATTTAAAAAATTAAAATATCATCATATTTCAATGTTTTATACACAAAAGAAGCACACCTCTATAAAAACATAACGATTTTTCGGGTCTCAGGTAAGTTTTTTTCGGAGTTATACAAACTAAAAAGATTTTATTGGCTTTTTTTAAATTTTTTTATTATGTTTTTTTCTTTCTAGAAAGACCAAAATACTTAGTGATCTGTTTATTGTATAATGGCCATAAAAGTAAATTAATTTATAGCAAAACATAGTTATAAAAATAATATTAACTATTTTTAATATTCAGTTTTATGTCCGTGATGGTCGTGACAAAATTTTGTGTTTTTCCATCAAAGATGCTCTAGTTATATTAAATCACCAAAGATATTGTGTTACCATGGACATTTTATGAAACTTCAAATGTCAATGAAATAAAAAAATAAAAAAAGTTTCAAAAAACGGAATAAAAAATTTTAAAAGTGCTTTTCCTGAAAACGTAAGTTTTTAAATTTTCACTCATATACTCAACTCCGCATTGTATGTTTGGCGAACCGGGAGGCCAACTCGTGACTCGGCTACAGTATAAGTTTAGCCTGCATGGACTAAGGAAGAAACGAGTAGGAGTCTCCTGATGCACAAAATATGCACCAAAAGGGTCATTAGTATTTAAATGAATTGAAATACATTTCTCTATATATTATATCTGTCAGGGATTGTCTGTACGTATTACACATGCAGGAAGACTTACATTGAGAGGATCTGCCAGCTGGGTGTAGTAAGGGTTCCACATGTAGCCAGCCGCAGTACAACGGGTGTGCAGCACTTGTACAGTGGCGTCCACACCCACGGGGTTCACATAGATAGCCCAGTTGTGGTTTTGGGTCTGTACAAAAGCCACACAACACATACTAATTTGTATCAATCATTAACTTTAAAATGCTTCCACTCAAGGGTGGTCCCAGGAGGTTGGGTGGTCACAACCCTCTTGACCCCCCAAAATCTTTCTTTTTTTTAAGAAAAACTACACCTAAGGGGAACTTTAATAATTTTTATTGCAAATCGTTTAACAAATTTCATTGTAGTCTATAGTATACACTTATCAATAGACGAAGCTTAGTTACTTGAAAGGTAGTTTAATATTAATTTATCCGAGTTAAACATAAGGAACTTGCAATTTCTAATTGCAGAAATGTAATTCAATGATTACCATAGCCAATTTGAGAACTTTTGATACTTAAATAACATTCATATTTTCTTAATGATTAGGGGCCTGATATCATATTTAAGAATAAAAAAAAAACATTATGAAAACACTGAGAACAAATTCTGAAGGCCAAATCTATATGATCACGGTGGCCGTGAGTGGCGATGAGAGGCAACGTTAGTTGGGTAGTGTTAGTGTACTTTATGTAGGTTAACTGCTGCTTACTGAGCAGTGCATTGTAATGCAGTAGTGTTGGGTGCAAGTGCTCAAACACTTCTTTGATAAAATAAGTTCTAGTTCGAAATCTTGGTCTGATTTTGGAATACATTTTCTGTTTTCCATGCACATCGGCCCCAGTTGAAAGGGTATTTTTGTAAATCAATAATATTGGTAGAACTGGAATAGATAGAACCTTGATGCAAGAGTCCATTACAAATAGCCTAGATCAATTTGATGGATTAAAAAAAAATTAAACTTTATGTGTTGAATTCTTGCGGTATTCCTTCGTTACTAAAACTACGTGTTGATGAAATTCCACAAGTCTCATAATAATGCAAAAACTACATTTCTTGAACCTTGAAATAAACTAGAAAACTTGTAGGCTACACATTTAGGCTAGGTCAGTTTAAATTTGTGTGCTTCAAAATAGTTAAAAAATTGCTCATTTAAGAACATAATCTCAAAATTTTCCCGGGGGAGTACCCACACCCTCCTAGCAATCATACTATATTGAAAGTCTTGTTCTCTTGATTAAGCTAAGAAATATACTTACAAAGTTACGATCGTGTTCACCAGGATGTTTGAGGTTGACTTCGATTATTGTATCACTTGCGCTTCCGTCGTAGTGAATTAGCTGAGTCTGGAAAAATTGTACCAGTAATCATTAAAATATGTTGACCGGTAAATATTTAACTAGGTAACTCGCAGAATAGGCCTAATAAATAAAAACTAATTAATAAAATTTAGAATAAAGTTCATGCTCACCTACCCACTAGGTTATTAAGAATGTTTAAGAAAGAATGTGTACTGGCAGTAAAACTTGTTACAGTGGTAATCTAAATTTCACAGAAGACTGATTTGGGTTAGTGAAAGTTCAATCATCACAAACCGCTCACTGGTTACTAATTTTAAATCTCAGTGGATGAGAGGCTCATTATTTTATTACAGATATCAAGACTTTGTGAGAAAACATTTCAGGGACTATAAATTATAAATATCCAATAGCAGCAATAGAATAATAAATTTTTGTGTTTACACATTATTCATGTTTCTTATACCAAGTTAAATTAATTTTAGCGAAATTCCCATGATAGGGAATAATATATGACTGTAGGTCTCATGGTAAGACATCTGGGGCCTATTGACTTTTCTGTTTTGATGTTCCCAGTGGCCATAACACTATAAATTCATATAGGTGTACTACTGATGTACCGAATACAAGGTTTAAAAAAATCCTTCACAAAAATATAAAACTATGTACCGGTATGTAACGAGATACACTTTGTACCGTACCGTATGTAACAGAGGTTAAGATTTGTAGATTTCGGAAACATTGTATGAACAAAACCTGTGATCCATATCTATTACTTATTTAATACGCAAGCAGGTTTTTTGTGACAATTACTCCTCCGAAACTACTGAACCAATTGATATGTTTTCGGTGTCATTGGAAAGAGCGTAACATGAAGTTGTGCAGGAAACTTTCTTTTTTGAGAAATAATTAGAGAGTGAGACCCTGGGGCCCTTTAAAGTTTCGTATTTCTCCATAAGATTAACATGGGAAACAAAAATAGTTATGAAACTCCAGCTGTTGTCAGAAATTAAAAGTGAGAAGAAGAACATATGTTAATTGTTAACAGTCATTAAGTTTGCTAATTTAACAGTTTGCTACATAGACCAGGCCGGGGTTGGAGTTGAGTATGCAAAATTATTCGGACGCACTTTCTCTTTTGATTGTTGTTAAGGACACTTTGGACAGTAAGAAAACGCATGTTGCCACGACCGGCGTTGGTCGAGTACCAATATGGCTGCCATCCAATATGGCAGACCACCTGACTTGACCTTGATCGAGAAAAATGCAAATAACTCCATTGTTTTTTGACCGATTTTGATAATTCTTTTATAGTTGAAAAGAAGAAGAAATTTGCTTTAACACATTCACTGCTAATGATATGTAATACTTTTATAAATGGCTAATAAACATAAACATTAACATGATCATGTTAATTGAGTGACAATATATCTTTAATTAAATAAATTTTATACTATAAATTGTGGATTAAAATATATTATGTAATTATATACATCATGTATTATATATCTGCTAATATACTTATGACGCACAAGTGCGTCATTAGCAGTGAACGTGTTAAGAGTCTCCATTACACTTATAGTGATATCCCGTTTAAAAAGTGATAAATTAGATTTTAATACAGATTTTACTTTTAAAACGGATTAAATATACATTGAGGTGATTATATTTGAGTTTTTACTGACGAAATATGTCCGAACTCAACCTGTAGCTGCTTGGGTAACAAAAACGTAATTATCCATTATCATTTAATAACCAAAATCTAATAATTTGTAATTTAATAATCCATATATTATTAATGTTATTAATTTACAACGAAACACAATTGGAGAAGGTACGTTTTTAAAAAAGAGCAATGCAAGAAAAACTTCATGTAACGATTGGGTAAACAGATTTTTTAGGGTAATTCGACCCTGCTGAGTACAAATCTGCGTATTGCCAAAGCGAAATTTGAACCGGAAGTGCGGTATCCAAGATGGCGGCCAGAACGTGTTTGCCCCATTACTCTTTTGTTATTTGGCCTAAAATATTGGTTTAAACATCTGAATAGAGGTTTTCTCAGGTGCCAAACACATTGCAGTACTCAAAATCTACTTACATCAACTTTTAAGAGCATATGTTCCAAGATGGCATCCAAGATGGCGTCCTAAAACTCTGTTTACGCATATCTCTCTTCTTAGTTGGCCTTAAATAATAGTTTTAACATCTGCATAGGGGTTTTATCGGATTGCAAACACATTGCAATAGTCCAAATTTACTTACATAAACTTTTAGGGGAATATGTTCCAAGATGATACCTAAGATGGCGTCCTAAAACTCTGTTTTCGCATATCTCTCTTATTAGTTGGCCCAAAATAATAATTTAAACGTCTGCATAGGGGTTTTATTGGAATGCCGAACACATTTCAATACTCAAAACGTAATCACAACCACCCTTGAGGTAATATTTTCCAAGATGGCACACAATATGGCCGCCAAAAACTCTAGGACCTAGGTTCTAAATCAGCTGCCAAAACTTCTGTCCTTGGAAGAGAACAAGAAATATGAGAAAAAGGCCATCTAAGAGAAAATAAATTGTTAATTGCAATATTTAAAAGAAGATATTAACAAAATGAATGAACCATTTAAAAGGGTCAAACATTGTCGAGGACGGTAGCACAGTTTGGTGCAAGTCTTTCGATTATTCTTGCGCGTTTACATTGTAGATATACACTTGGATAAACAATAATTACATCCTAAGATATCTGTGGAGGCTTTTGGGACTGACAAGGATCTCACAAGGATAGGATGTACTGGTGTTAGTGAAGCCCGAGCTATATGACTCGGAGCCATCTTCACCGGTCGGACAAGATAAGCATTTTCCAACACTTTCAAATGGAATGTTTTTAAAATTTTCAGTACAACAAATCATTCAGTTTGTAAAACCATTGATGATAGTATGCCCCTACTAAAGATCGTGTCTTTACCTAACGACATCTTAGGATGTTGCAGTCACCGTACATTACGTTTTGGAGGCAAGACTTCCTGATTTTTAATAACACCAAAAAGAAGATGCGTTTCAAGCGCTTTAAAGTTATGATGGACAATATCCTGAGGAAATATCAGATACTATCCTCAATGGTTTTACAAACTAAATGATTTGTTGTACTAAAAATTTTATAAACATTCCATTTGAACGTGTTGGAAAATGCTCATCTTGTCCGACCGGTGAAGATGGCTCCGAGTCATATAGCTGGGGGCTTCACTGACACCAGTACATCCCATCCTTGTGAGATACTAGGTCCTACACAATCGTATGAAGTATATAATGGGTGTTTCAATCCATTTGGCATTAGAAGAAAAACCTTTATGGACGTTTAAATAATAATTTCAAACAAACAAACAAACAAGGCTGATATACGGAAACAGAGTTTTTGGCGGCCATATTGTGTGCCATATTGGAAAATATTACCTCAAGGGTGGTTGTGATTATGTTTTGAGTATTGAAATGTGTTCGGCATTCCAATAAAACCCCTATGCAGACGTTTAAATTATTATTTTGGGCCAACTAATAAGAGAGATATGCGAAAACAGAGTTTTAGGACGCCATCTTAGGTATCATCTTGGAACATATTCCCCTAAAAGTTTATGTAAGTAAATTTGGACTATTGCAATGTGTTTGCAATCCGATAAAACCCCTATGCAGATGTTAAAACTATTATTTAAGGCCAACTAAGAAGAGAGATATGCGTAAACAGAGTTTTAGGACGCCATCTTGGATGCCATCTTGGAACATATGCTCTTAAAAGTTGATGTAAGTAGATTTTGAGTACTGCAATGTGTTTGGCACCTGAGAAAACCTCTATTCAGATGTTTAAACCAATATTTTAGGCCAAATAACAAAAGAGTAATGGGGCAAACACGTTCTGGCCGCCATCTTGGATACCGCACTTCCGGTTCAAATTTCGCTTTGGCAATACGCAGATTTGTACTCAGCAGGGTCGAATTACCCTAAAAAATCTGTTTACCCAATCGTTACATGAAGTTTTTCTTGCATTGCTCTTTTTTAAAAACGTACCTTCTCCAATTGTGTTTCGTTGTAAATTAATAACATTAATAATATATGGATTATTAAATTACAAATTATTAGATTTTGGTTATTAAATGATAATGGATAATTACGTTTTTGTTACCCAAGCAGCTACAGGTTGAGTTCGGACATATTTCGTCAGTAAAAACTCAAATATAATCACCTCAATGTATATTTAATCCGTTTTAAAAGTAAAATCTGTATTAAAATCTAATTTATCACTTTTTTAAACGGGATATCACTATAAGTGTAATGGAGACTCTTAAAGCAAATTTCTTCTTCTTTTCAACTATAAAAGAATTATCAAAATCGGTCAAAAAACGATGGAGTTATTTGCATTTTTCTCGATCAAGGTCAAGTCAGGTGGTCCGCCATATTGGATGGCAGCCATATTGGTACTCGACCAACGCCGGTCGTGGCAACATGCGTTTTCTTACTGTCCAAAGTGTCCTTAACAACAATCAAAAGAGAAAGTGCGTCCGAATAATTTTGCATACTCAACCCCAACCCCGGCCTGGTCTAACACTGACTTGATTGAAATGAAATATTTTCTATTTGAATTGGGGTTGGCGTAAATCTTACAATGGAAAAAAGCAGGAGAGCCTGGATAATTTGAAATACTAAAAACAAAAAGAAAACTGAATTAACACTGTGCTGCATTTCTTAGTAAGCATTGAAAGAGCCGATTTGCAAACTAAGGAAAGATAGGAAAGTCATAGAACACCACCAAGGAGAAGACATAGAAATAATTTTTTTTTAAAATTTATAATCCTTATTATGGACAACCTTATGCGGCTATCAGTAAGGATATTTGTAAAAAACACTAAAAACAACATCAGCTTTTAAAAAATAATCAGATATTTTCAAGAAATGTTGGTTATGTCGATCTGTTATATACATCTTGAGTATTTCAATAATCTTTGAGTCAAATCTTTAAAAGTAATCATAAATTATGGATGTTTCAAAATAACGCCTGTAATACTTACCAATTGCTCGAATTCGAGCAACAGGGACACTAGTAAGAAATTAAATCTTGATATAATCAGCCCTAAAATCATTATCATCAGTTCTGGCACGTCACAGGTCAGTCATATCAAATTTAGGGATTGTTCGGACGCCTGACGGTCGTGTGATGTGTGTGTGTTTGACATTTAAAAAAATTGTGTTTTTGTAATTTAAATTATTATGATTATATTTTAAATACTAATAAAAACTGCCAAGATAGACGGTAAAAAATTAATAAAATATTTTTTTTATTTATTTTTTTTACATCCTTGTTGCGTTTTACACACCTTAAACATACAGATAGACGTTCTCTGGGTGTCAATGATTTTCTACAGTGTGTCTGTCTTTGTTTTTATTCACTTCCATTCTGCTGCGTAAAATATTAAATGATTCTTGTGTCGTCCTAAAATTTTGATAGCACTTAGTTTCATCGTCCATTAGTTACCTAAATAACATTACAATCTCTCCCTCACTTTTGCTCCTATTGCAGATATCTTGAACCCGTATCCTTAGTTTTTTCCTTGTATTTTCAATGTCTTCGCAATCTAAGGCTCTTGCTATTACAGCAAACTATTCCACAGTAAAAACAGACATTGAGTTTATTCATATTTACATTTACTTATATAATTAAATAAGCTTGACTGTAACATAAATCTAAAAAAAAGTGATGGAAGGCTGACTGAAACAAACTGACGGACAGTTAGTTGACTGGTGAATGTCGGATGCAACTGAGACGGAACTGTGACTGGACTGATGTATGTGAATCGGCCTTTATGGGTGGTTCTCATTTATGTTTAGTCTAGGTCATTGCATTTGTTTTTAGTCTACCACTGGTACTAAAAATGAAAGCAAAAGTAGTGAAGTTCAAGAGCTTCAATCAGTTGTTACCATGCGTATATATCCCCAAGCAAATCCTTTTGGATGGTGGAAGGAAGCAATAGCTCTCAACTCTCTTGCTTCTGATGGAGCATATCCTCTTTCTATGGTGGCACACGCCCACCTAAATTTACAAAAACACTTAAAGAGTAAAAAAATATAAGTAAAAATATTATAGGTTTACTATCCTTAAATTTAGGCTATGCTTATTAGTGTGAATGTTATTTTTTAAATTATGTATATGACTATTACCTTTGACTATTAATACAACAACTGTATCCAATAGTCAATGCTATTACCTATACAACTCACAAAACTGGTTTCACTGTATTTGTAACAAAACTAATGTTCCATTATCTTTCATGTGTCAAACAAAATAGTAATTTGTGTAATTTTTTTTGTTCACTAATACATCAGTACCATTTTAATAGTTAACAATATTACACCACCATATGGGGGGATGAGATTTTAAACTATAACCATTGACTATTGAATTCCAACTATATAAAGCGGTGTGTTTCATTTGGGTGTTTTTCAACAACATTGGCATTTTATCCTTTTTTTACATTATCTTTGTTACTATCTAATAAACCCCTTTTGTTTGATAGAATGTTAATTGGTTGTTCAATAACAAAAGGTACATATGGGTCAAGAACTAATTCCGCTAGCAGTATAACTGCAACAACCTTCACATTTTAAGACAAGCAACAGCTCTTGGCTACCTTCTCATGTAGTGTATGACACTACATTATCAACTTTCCTCTTGATCAAAACCTTTCATTACTTTGCCAAAAAATTAGAAAACAAGTGTTTTTTTGAGAGCCAACTATGTACCTTTTAGAATCTTTCCTGAAGATGGTGACAGAGCGGCCTAGAACACTGCGTTGTCCAAACAACATGAGAGATGAGTCGTTGACTGCAGTGTCAAAGTGTGAGGCTCCCTCTAGGTGGCCGTACTTACCACTGAGGTCACCAATAGCGTACAAATCAGGAGTGCCACTGGTAATAGCAGTTGTAGACTCTCTAACTTGGTACGGGTCAAACATTGTACCTATTGTTGACTCCTCACATGGAAACTCATAGTACTCGCTGACTGGGATCTAAAAATTAAGTTAGATTTAATATACCATATCCAATCCTTTCAAACCACTTAAACATACAACTATCCACTACATCATTATAACTATGTATTAGCGAATTTCCCCTATAGGGAATAAGCTATTACCGTAGTACTCATGGTAAGACCTGGACACAGGACCGATTTACTTTTTCATTTTGAGGTCCCTAGAGACCAAAAACATCATCCCTTCAAATTCATATTAATATATAGATATGTGTCTGTTAGCACGATAACTCGAGCAAAAATGATCCGATTTTGATGAAATTTGGTACAAACGTATAAACCTACATATATTCGAAAAAGAGTTTATATATACCAGCATGATCGGATTAAAGGAATGGGGGTTTTATGGGGTAAAAATTGGTTTTTCCATTTTTGACCCTAAAATCGTAAAATTTTGCAATTTATTTTCAAACTATTTTGTAGAGCTCAAAAAAACTAATAAAGTATATTGAAGCGTTGTTATGCCCCTAATAGTTACGGAGAAAATTCCAAAAAATTGTAAATTTAAAAAACCCATGTTATTCTTATGAAGATAAGTAAACTGTTGTAGTTTGCTTTTTTATGGATATATTTTGATGGAATTTTGCAAATTTGTTTATTTCATACTAAAAGCTATAAACATTTCAATAATAAAAAAAAACATACCTAATTACCTTTCCTGTAGCAGCAAACCTAAGTACTCAAATTAATGTTATTTATATAGGCAACAATTCACAATAAAAAATGTGACAATTTTAAGGAAATATTTCAGTGGAAATCCAACCAGACAAATGGAAATTCGCTTAGTCTGCAGGTTTGCTGCGGCGGGGCTATTTTATCTATTTATTTTGTGTGTGTGTTTACGCCAGGAGCATATTCACGTTTTTTTTTTTAGAGGGAACAGTCTAGGCCTTGTTATTTAAGTTTTAACTTTTGTTAGATAGCATAATTAATAGACAGCCCAGTAGGCTAAGTTCTGGGTCCAGAATTATTTCCGTTCGGGATCGAACCAGCAATCTTCGGATTTAGATCAATAATTCCAATTAGTATCCAATAGATTTTATACTTCCAACAAATCTTTGTTAGAACAATGTTATAATAGTATTAACACGTTCGCTGCAGCCTACTGCTATAGCAGTAGGTAGTGCGGCACTAGCACTGCACGCGGCCTACTGCTAAATCAGTGGTGTGCTCCCCTGCCCTGCTAACTATTGCGTCAGTCTGAGCCCAGCACTCGGCCAGGAACGTTGTGATTGTTGCCAGGCAGTAGCTTAGAATGCGAGCTTCATTTTGGTGTAGGTTGGTCCTAAACATTCCCGTAAAATCCCATCTGGCAATGCTTTTGTACCGGTTTCGGAGATTTTCTCTATTCGAGCCATATTACAAAGACACTGGCTATTGATCAAGGCAGTGCTGCTACCTTTGGGTGTTTCAGTAAACTACGTCCACTTTTGGGGTAACGCAGAACAATCACCACTGCTCTTTTGTGATTCGTCTTACTGAAATATTTGAATGCCAATTGTGATCGCTGATTCAGTAGCACGCTGGGGCTCGCCGCCATTGGCGAGCGCCTGTTTAAAGGTTTTCAGCAGCAAACGTGTTAATCACAGTGTACCGGTACTAAAATGTGGAATGAAACTTTGTCCTAAACATTGGCTATTGAACAACCAGGTGCAGTGTTCACTTTAGTGGTAAATAATATTTCAGCCATACCTTGGTGATGTGGAATGTGTCAGCACTGATCAGGCCACCCAATGTGAACTCTACATCTGTAGCTTCATACTCAGTTTGTTGGAACAGCTCTATTTTCCCACTCACAGTAGTCAGTTCACCATTGCCAAACCAGTCTCTCACGACTCCTTTGCGACGGAAAACATTTGTAATCCTAAAAGAAGATTGCTTTTGTTCACAGATAATGATAAATGAACAAATTCAAATTTAATGTATGCTCACCAAACTAGTAGATGCATAATAATCTGAAACATTTTGACAGAAAACCATTTTAAATAGCACATTTCTTTTAAGTTTACAATATATTAAGAAGTAGAGATGGACGGGTCCGAAATATCGGGAATTTTTCGGGAAAAAAATATTCCCGATTATCGGGACGGGATTGCATTTCATTCGGGAATTTTTCGGGACGGGATTTGGTCCGATCGCCGGCGATTTTGCCGCTTCGCGAGTGCCGATGACGCCGCTATTGCGAGCGATAGGTCCGCGAACGCAGGAGACAAAGTCGTTTCGACGATTGCGCCGTGACCGCGGAGTCATAACGACGATCGCGCCGTGACCGCGAGCCATACCGACAATCACACCGTGACCGCGAAGTCATACCGACGATCACCCCGTGACCGCGGAGTCATACCGACGATCGCGCCGTGACCGCGAGTCATACCGACGATCACCCCGTGACCGCGAGTCATACCGACGATCGCGCCGTGACCGCGAGTCATACCGACGATCACCCCGTGACCGCGGAGTCATACCGACGATCGCGCCGTGACCGCGAGTCATACCGACGATCACCCCGTGACCGCGGAGTCATACCGACAATCACGCCGTGACCGCGGAGTCATACCAACGATCGCGCCGTGACCGCGAGTCTTACTGACTATCGCGCCGTGACCGCGAGTCATACCGACGATGACCCCGTGACCGCGAGTCATACTGACGATCGCGCCGTGACCGTGAGTCATACCGACGATCGCGCTGTGACCGTGAGTCATACCGACGATCGCGCCGTGACCGTGAGTCATACCAACGATCACCTCGTGACCGCCGTCATTTTGACGATAGCACCGTCATTTTTTGGTTTGTTATAGATCAGTGCCATAAACGGTATAGATTGATTTTGTATGCCTTTTTTGGTAACTGCAATACTCAAGACTTTCTTTTTATGCACAGAAAAAAATCGCGTCCTGTCCCACCTTGAAAATCGGGAAGGAAATAAAAATCTCGTCCCATCCTGTCCCGAACTAAAAATTCAATCCCGTCCATCCCTATTAAGAAGATTAATAATTTGTTATAGAAAGTTAAGAGGAATAAGTAACATTAAGGTTCACTTACTTGCTGCACGCAAGCCTTTCTCCTCTTGCCTTGGGACCGTGATCATCATAAATAACAAATGACCTTCCCACAACACTGTATGAGCCTGATAGAGGCAGCAGAGTGTCCGTCCACAGTGTACGGCTCACCAAGTCACTTTCATTCTTTCGACCAGCAATGTTCATTAGCCCTAGACGATCAGACAGGGAGCCAATACGACAGAAGCCATCCGGTGTGTGGGAGAGACAGTCTTCTGTTTTGTTCTCAAAATAAACCTTCACACAAAATTGTGAATTAATTAGCCATAGAAATTATAGTAATTTAAGTTTACAATCTAACAAATGAAATACATATGGAAAAAGCTAAAAAATTTTGAACATTACTGGTATGATTATAAATGTTGTGGATGAAGTTATTTTTATATACATTATATTTAGAAGATAAAACAATAACCTGAATCATTTACAAAAAATGAAGGTAAGCAAACACAATAAAAAGTATAAACAACAAACACAAATCACCTTTATACGAATTACTGATTTTGTAACAATCACAATTGTCTATGGACAAAAATACATTTTTGTCATACTGCAGCAAAAAAAGCTGTTTGTAATAGATGAGTTGCGGGTCTAAAGTTGCTCTATTACTCCCTAGGGAGTAAAAGCCTGATTAGTCCCTAGGAAGTAAGTATCAGCTGCTGTAAACAGTTGTAAACTTCGATTGTAAGCAATCCCATGTATCGGAATTATGTATTGATTGATTTAATCAGTTGTAGCTTATTGTTGCATTCTTGCATGGTTTGCATAGTTTGACATATGCATAGTACAATACAGTAGTAGTATAGTGGTACAGTAGCACAATCACAATAGACAAAATTATTGAATAACTGTGACTACTTAACACTGTAATTACTTATTTGCACTGTAACTACTTATTTGCATCAGCAAAATTGAATAAAAGTTAGAAATAGTTTTCAGAGGTTATTTTTTAATGAAAAGTATTTTTGTTTTAAAAGTTATTTTGTTAATAAATATGTTGCATGTGACAATAAATAACATAGTTCATCACACGGGCAAAACTTTTCTTTTTAACCCTTGCTTACTTTCCAAAAGCTGAAGGTCATGAAACTTCAGCTCTGGTCGAAAAGAGTCACTTTATACCCTAGTGACGAAATATACTACTGTATTTCCTGGTCCAGAATTTATACAGCAACACTGAATTCCAGAGGGAATGAAATAAATGTAGGTAATGACATTTTATTCTGGGATCTTCCTGAAGAAAACTGTTAGAAGTTTCATACCGCACTATTTGAATTTGAAAGAAAAGTTTTAAAATAAATACTCAAGCACTGAAATCAAGCCCTTTATACAGCATTGTACTCACAAGGAACCCATCATAAGGAAGTCCAGCGCTGACACATCGGTTCTGCCAATCGTAGAAGTCTTTGCCTGGAGGCTCCATACTGACACCCCACCGGTGGTCCTGGGTAGTCTTGAGCGATGTACCATCAGCATGTACTAGCTGTTCCACCATCACCACTGTGTCTGATGTCCAGTCCTCCTTGGGCTGCCGGAATATCACTCGTCCAGCTAGAGGGTACCTGTTACAGCCCATACAGAGTGTTGAGAAAATAGGATAACAGTTATATTATGACTAGTTAACCCTATATATTAATAGGCAAGCATGTTTCTTGAAAACCTTTTTTCTCACCTTGTGTGCATCGTAGGGAAATCTACGCATACCGGTACTGTTAGAAAGATATTGACATAAAATGAGCTTACTAACCTGTCGTCAATCAGTCCTATATTTGTCGTGGTGACTATAATTTCGGGGTAAGAACCCCATTTCCAAATTTTAGATCGTCAAATCGTCAAACATATCTTCTTGCATTTGCCGTTGTCAATAATACATTACACATAAATACGGAAAATGGAACCATTTAGATTTTACAAAAATTATGTATAATCGTGTTAGGCTGGCCAAGGACAAAACCAGGTTCAACCAGTTCAATACCAGGCAGTCTGGTTTTGTCCTTGGCTGGCCTAGGGCAATTGTGCATAATTTTTGTAAATGTAAATGTTTCCGTGAGTGTTTATGGTATTATTGACAATGGCAAATGCAAGAAGATATGTTTGACCATTTGACGACTGAAGATTTGAAAATGGGGTTTTAACCCTGAAACTGCAGTCATCACGAAAAATATAGGATTGATTGACGACAGGTAACCTCATTTATTTAATTTATTTATTTAACTTAATTTTATGTCAATTAATCAATCCAGAAGGCAAATATGTATCAAAAAGAAAAATATTTGCCTGTATCAAAATAGGCTAAAAAATAATTACAATAAAATGAGTTTAAAAAAAAATTAGCATGGATCATATGGGTTGCCATGCAGGTGACAAAATAACAATAAAAAATGTACAGAAAATCTAAACAAACACACATGTTTTATTTACATTTACGCATGTGGTGAGTTTGTACAATACGTCATATTTTTGGTAGAATGTTTGACCACGGGGCGACCTCTAGGTTTTATAAAAGCGTAGGTAGTAAAAAATGTACTTAATAATAAATCCATACAAGGAATAAATAATACCACCCTATGTTTACTAAAAATTGGAATACAGAATACATTTGTAGAAACGTTTTAATTGTTTGACAAATGTCTTTGGAGAATTGTTGATTTAGATAAACTGAAATTTGCAGTCAAATAAAAAAACATAGAGAGTAAAATAATTTTAGTTACTGGCATTGGACACAGGTGAGGAGGCTTTTAACACACCACACCTGAATATTGCTTCAGCTGTTGCCATTGGTACTTTGGTGTTGTGGCGAGTGAACCTTGTAAGAGTGGAGCAGACCCAGGGCTCTTCAATCCCACTTGTATCATTGTTCCTGAAATCAGAAATTGTATTGTAGGACAGTAAAATAACTTTTGAAATTAGTCTGTGGGGAAGTAAACAACGTCAAAAGTTAAGTAATAATACTTCTTGTTAAGTTATACAGTAAACTCCCTCTTATCCAGACTCCTCGAGAACGAGGTCAGTCCGGATAACGGTTTTTCGGGTTAAACCGACTTCCCCCAAAACTCGTTAAAACGGACCGTTTACTGTGATATTCTACTTAAATTTAGGAGAGCATTGTATTTAGACACTTGATCACTGGTCTCAAATATTTCCCACAAGAACAATCGTTTCAAGTACCACCCACTTCCTGCCGATCTAGTCCGGTTACCCAATGTGCTGAGAAAAATTATCCGGTTAAAGAAATGTCATTTCCGCCGAGTGTAGTCCGGTTAAACCAATGTCCGGTTAAACCGATGTCCGTTTAAAAGGTGTCCAGATAAGAGGGAGTCTACTGTAGTGTATTCAAAAGTAAGTAAAATATGCCAATTTTAGAGGTTTAATGTACTTTACAAATCCTATATAATTTTGTTTTGTAAATATATTTTACCTATGACTGTTTTTTTTTTTAAATCAGCCGTTTCAGTTCAGTTCTTAGAATTGAAAAGTTTCACATAACAGCATCGTTTACTTACTTAACAGCATATTTATGCACTTAACAACACGGGTAACGGACCAATGAGGTTCAAGGATTGAGAGAGAAGAAGTAAAATTGTATGCTTCGTCCACTAATCTGCTGTTTAGACCAATTTAATTGTTGATGAGTGGTGCAATTAGTGTTTGGTACAATGATTCTGCATCACTGTCAGTGGCATTGTTATAAACGAAAACATAACCTCTCTTAGAAGTTATGAGTAGTGATTGTTAGTAACTAAAATCTGACGTAGGTAAAGCAGTGTACGAACTCGTGTTAATAACACTCGTAGAAGTTTTTAAGGCACAAACCTTGCCGATTGCCTTAAATTTTCTGCTCGTCTCATAAAGACTAACTTGATGTGATCTACTTGTGTAAACTACTTTAACCGATTTTACAAAACTCTCAAAGTTTTACCAAACTTAGCAATTTTTTTAAGAAAACATCAGGATTAGACAAAGCACCTTCAAAATACATACAGAACAGAAGAAATTAAAACAACCCAAGAACTTTCATATTCAAAGACGTATAATTTTTTAAACTACAATTTTTTTAAATTGGAAATTAAAAAGTGACAATAGAAATTCCAATATCGCATTAGGAACAAAGATTGAGAATATATGTTCTCATATTATATTCCACGCCTCATTGAATGGACACAAACTTAAACTCTTTCAAGAAAAAGGTTTAATTTATTCCAAGTTATAGTTTTGTGACGAATCAGAGCTTCCCTTTAAATCTACCAAGGTACTCCCTCTCTTTGACTACTTACTTTAGCTTAAGATAAGGGCCGAGTGAATAAAAATGAGTAAAAGAGTTAACTTGTCTTAAATTTTCATAATTTGAGTATTTACTTGAACAGAAGTGAATAAACACGAGTATTTACTTGTACTTGTTAGTAAAGCCTTGCCAAGGAAGTATACCCTTAGAAACCTATAAATTTGGTATGATTAACCACGAGCAAAATACTTGCCTAAAGAGTAAATACTTGTTTTTCAACAAGTTATCAGTAACCCATGCTTGTTTGAGTTTACTTGTTGATAAATGTATGTAACACATTCAGTATAGTGTAATACATTTATTTAAATGATGATGCATGCATGACTCAAGTGATTTCCGCAAAATAATGCATGGGGATGGAACCTCAATTCAAAAGTCCAAAAACATAGATTTAAAATAATTTTAATTTTCAATTGAAGTGGACCTGTATTCCTTTGTTATGTTCAAGCTATACCGTATGTGTTAATGAAAATCCACAAATTTAAATAATGCAAAACCTTCACAATTTACGCATGTTCAAACAAAGTTTTTGGTCCTTCAATAATATTATGAGATGCTTGTAACTTACATCAAGCTAGGTTAGTTTATCTTTTTATGCCTTAAAATAGCTGTAAAATATTTCATTTGGGCACATAATGTTAACATTTTTCCGTGGCATGGAAGGACCTCCCCTGTAACATCCCCCCCTAAAAATATAGGCCTAGGACTGCCCTTGCAGTGAATGTATGCACAATTAACTATTTTAGTTTCACAAGTACTTCAGCAGTGCTGTTAACTAGTAACAAGTGAATATATACACATAAGAGTACATAGGGAAACCCGTTTTAACTTTATAGTAGAGCAAGGCAAATTTGTTTATGAGGAATAAGCTGCAAGTATTCGTAGGCCTACTGTATAAAGTTTACTTTGGAAGTAGTATACCAGATCAGTGAGTATATCCTCTCATTTAGGAAGTATTTACTTGCAAGTAAAGAGTGTAGCTTTTATTCACTAGAGTTTACTTGGAGGGATTAATACTTGCAAGTATTTACTCACAAGTAAATACTTGCTGTACTTGTTTTTATTCACTCGGCCCTGCTGTAATAAACATACTTATAGACAACAAATGAGCGATGAGCAACAGAGTGACGGCCAAACAGTGGCAAGTGAGTGTCCCACCGGCGCTTGTTATCATATCCAACCTTGCCTGACAGGTCACCTACTGCATACAAATCTTGGGATACCTCACCTATAACAGCAATGTCAATTGTTAATGTTTCAGTTAATAATTCATTTTTGTTAATTGCACAGAGTGTTCCATAAAGTGGTTGTTATTTATGAAATTATATACAAGACATATTGAACACGCTACGAACATAAAACTCTACAGTTATACAGTAGAACCTCGATAATTCAAAAACCTTTATTATTAGTAATATTTGTCTGTTCCCCTCAGAAAACCTCTAAAATTAAAAAAAATAATATAGCCTACCGAAAATCCAAAGTGATTTTACGCTTGATGCAGCCTCTACAATTCAAATTTATACATACTCGAGCCTCTACAGTTTGAATTTTGATGCCGTAATTCAAACTTTTACCTCCAAAATTCGAAGTCAGTAGAGAAAGGTGGCCACACCTCGATTTTGAATTTTCGTCTAGGTACATTGGCGGAGAAGCAATTGATGTAGTTGCGAGCGTGGTGCAAATTTGGCGGCAGGGCGTCGTACATCGCCGCTACTCAGTTATGGAGGTACATTAGCCACACTGTCGACTTTAGGACTAGTGTACTTGCCTGTGTGTAGGCAAGTTTGGGCTGCCCCCCCCCTGGTCATAGCGCTAAAACTTTGTCAACTATGAGTGTAATTGCAGCTTGAGACTAGTGTATTTGCAGCTTGTGTTTGAGACAAGTGTACTTGCAACTTGTGTTTGGGACCAGAGTATTTATGCGCTATTTGCTGTGGTGATCCTGGCGTGAGTATTGAACCTCCATCAGCTAGGAGAATCTGCATGTGGGATGTTTTGAATAAGGAAGAACAAAAATACTTCATCAGGTAATAAAATACTTTATTTTTTAAGCAAGCATGGTGTACATGTGGTATTACAGAAATGTTAATTACACATTTGCAATACTAATGACATTAATACTCCTTTGTGGTGATGTGGAATCAAATCCCGGACCATGGCAAGACCCTCATTCTGATTGTTCAACATAGAGGGGCAAGACCTGACATTCCAAGCACGTCCACTGGTTTATATCAGACAACGATGGGCAGAGACAAGAGATACATGAGACCTTGTTTTGGGTGGCAAGGTGACGACAGCAGTTTTTTTAGTGAATCACAGTGCCCTGAAGAAGACGTGTCTTTATCAGAAGTACATGTGACACCAGAATTTACAGATGCCACGTCAGAAATTTCACAATTATCTGTCAAACCTGTGAGGTGTTTATATCGGGTAGGGTCACCTAGCCTAAACTTACCTCCGTTCGCTCGGACAGCTCGAGTAGTCCAGGGTTCTCACCATCTCTATAGAGTTAGACCATCTGTTAGACGCGACCGGGTGGAAGATGTAGCTCGAGCTACAACTTCCACCCGGTCGCGTCACCTGTCTCGTGTTCCCGAGTACTTGGCCTTTTAATGTTAAATGTTTGTATCAATGTGCGTTTTCGTGCATTCGTGTTCTATGTACTTATTTATTAAATGACGACCTTCATATATGGAAGTGAATAACTACGCCTTGTACGGCCTGAAGATGGTTCCCTGTGAATCGAAACTATAGTTACCACAAGCAGCATATTGGATTACTGAATGCAGGTATTTAAACCATTATATAACTATGTAAAATGGTTAGATTTTGATAATAAACATAATAGTTGGATATAAAACATGACTGCGTTCAGGACATACGTCAGTGATGTTTCCTAACTTGAAGGATAAGTTTGGTAACCCCTTGTTACCGCATACATTGAGCAGGTATCGTGAAAATTTTGATTTATAGAACAAACGCTTGCGGTTTGTAGCAGATCCTGACAAGGAACACGACTCTGTAAACTGACGGTTCTTGGACAGGTACGTTAAACGTGAAGAGATTGATGAGCTTGTGAACCGTGTTAATCTGCTAGAGAGTGTAATTAGTCAAAATAAAATAGTGATTGATGGTTTGAAATCAGAACTTGTCTCAGCACAAGAGAGTATCAAACAAACTTTAACTTATGATGTGGAAAATGGTAAGGTTAAGTTTAATGGAAAAGAATTCAAATTATTAATAAATGATCCTAAAGCCGGGTTTACACGATGCCAGTTGGCGAGACAATTGTCAGGAGACAACTGACTGGCTTGGAATTACTGGCTTCGTGTAAACACTTCAGGCCAATTGGCAAGCCAATTGGCCCGCCAGTTGTCCCGAAATTCAGTTGTCTCCGGGAGTAGACTGAGGACAATGAGCTGGGCCCAGTGAGGCCCCCACCCCTCAAAAATCCAGTTGTCGTGACAATTGGCGCCGTGTAAACGGTGTAGAGGCCAATAGCACTGTCTTGTCTTTTGGCTGTAGTACCCTGGTTCACTGTAAAATGCCTGGGCAAATGTTGGTCACGTGTAAACAGGTTCTCACTCAACTTGCCTGGCCTACTACAATTCCAAAACCACGTGATGCCAATTGGCAAAGACAATTGTCTCGCCAACTGGTATCGTGTAAACCCGGCTTAAGCGACCTTTCATCGTAGGTGATCCGACATTATTTAGTGGTTTGGCAGTTTATGGTGAAGGAAAACTTGAATATCGACCACATCACTTAGTTTATTGGGCCCATGGCTTACAAATAACAAGTATAGGATCAACATTTGTGTGGAATCAAGATCATAAAAGGATTAATCCATTATTTGATGGAAACCAATCACATCATGCTCCGCCCCTCCATGAATTATTCTATTCACACAAGTTGACACCGTGAGTCGGTGGTGTCATGGATTTCACTAGACTGGAGAACGTTGTTAGTAAACAAACAAACGGACAAGAATGTGAAACGTCGTAGAGTCAGACCTACTCCACAACATGATTCCTCGATCTTATTACACTAAATTTAGCATGTAACTTTTCATTATAGAACAATACGTTTTTATAATTGTCAAACATAAATTGTTTCTCTAGAGCTGACTTTTTCATCCCTTTAGCTTTCATATGTACACCTTTACCCTCTCGCTGAGCCTTGCTGTTGAAACGGAATGCGTACATTTTATTTTTCAGGCCAACATGCTCCTATATCTGTCGCCCACTTGTTTCATCTTTAATTACCCCAATTCGTTTGGCGTTTTCTGGCAGATGAGCTTTCCTTAGTGGATGATTTTCTGGATATGATGAAGAATCAAAGTATTTTACAAGTTTAGCTAGTGTTTTATTTAAATTGGGAGTGGTTATGAGATATATGAGAGAGTCTGTGTCAGAATAAATTAACACTATGTGGTCAAAATGTTTCAACGTTGTATCATAACGGAAACCGAACATGTAGTGTTAACTAAGATCAAGAATGATCTGTCCCACATACAGCAGACACTTCAGTTTAATTCGGTATTTACCAAGGTGTACAGCGACTAGATTATGATTGATAATTGTTCTGTCCAGGAAGTTAACTTTAGAAGTTTCTTTTAGAAAGTCAATTTCTGTTGTCACAAGTTTAATGTTAATGCGGTTTTTCTGGTTTTCACATGATTTCCTATATATACTATTCGTCATTAATTTAAAGAAGTTCTTCTCAAAGTCGTTTTTAGACTTTTGACTAAGTGCTGTATTTAGTTCAACGTACGGTTTTAACCATTCAAATTGATCAAATTGCAAGCGTTAAAGAACATCTTCCCAAGAAAACCATTGTTCAAAAATCAAACTTTGCCGACCATTTGGTAGCCAGTAACCATCGTTATACAAACATAACAACAAATTTGCAGCCTTTACATATTTGCCAAAAAGGCCGAACATTGACGGCATTGGAACAATTATAAATTTACAGAGCCTCCAAAACTGACACAAACAACCTGTTAAAGGACAAAAACACCCTGCAATCCAACATTCTTTTTGAAACCTTAATACAACTACATGATAGCCAAAACAATGCTGCACTAGCCACGTCACCGTCAGATCACGACCAACTCCCGTCTTCGGTCGAGTCTCGACACATGTCTGGCGCGCCTCCATATCTTGCCCGGTGCACGCGTAGCAAAAAAGTAAAAACTATGTTAAATAGCGGTCGACCAGTGTTTATGAGTTTTTGTGTTGTGAACTTTATTCGCACCTCTTCAGGGAAGTCTAGTTACTAGTTCTTATACGGATCCGACGATGGCGCTCGTGCCGAAATGTACATAATCTTGTAATCCACTAGGACATTACTTTGGACCACAAGGCAACAATCAGGTATTTTAACCTTTTATTTATTTTTCATAATATTTAGGTGATATTAGATGCTTTGAAATTTTTAGTGATGTTAATTTCTATGAATTCCCTGAGCATTGGCAAAAGTAATTGCTCGATCAATATATAAAATTGTTTAGCCCGCTCTGCACCATAATAATATATATATATATATATATATATATATATATATATATATATGTGTGTGTGTGTGTGTGTGTGTGTGTGTTAAAATATTTGTTTGAATTCAATAGTAACTTTTTGTGAACATTTCTTTAGATTATTTCGTTGGATGCATATTTGTCAACTGACTTATGGACCACCCTGTAGTTTGCGGTTTTGATACACCATCGTTAGGTTGTAACAAATTGCATTGCAACGTATATTTTGTTCAATTACTATGCTACTCGGGATGATATAATTTCTGGTTATGAAACATTGTGTATTGATTTTATTTTTGGCTGCGAGAGTCACATAACTGATATTGGCTAAACAAAAATGATTGCTCGTAAGCTTACGTTAAAAATTGATTAACTAGACTAGGAAATATGGCTTTCTATAAGGAATGTTTACATTCCATTGGCAAAAAATATTTTGCTATAGGTGCAAACCCTAATGTGCTCTGCACAAATTATAACATTCGTATCAACTTTTTTTGAATTCTTAACTTTTTAACACTTGATTGATGATATGTTAGCCCACTCTGCACAATAATAGTATATACACATTTAAATATTTGTTTGAATTTTTAACCTTTTTAACACTTGATTGATAATATGTTAGATATACATATATGCGTTTAAATATTTGTTTAAATTCTAGACTTTTTAACACTTGATGTTAGCGTTTAGTACAGGGAAAAAAGAAAAAAAAACTTGGGAACAATTAAAAACAATTAATTTTCTTAATTCTGTTTTTATTAAAAAAACAAATCCTCCGCCTGCCTTTCCAGTTCCTGGTGGTGCTGCCAGGGTAACAGGTCGTGAGGAGGTGGTGATGGCACAGGGCTGGGGGCACGGGGATTTTGAGCTGGTGCAGGTTCATCCTGTGTCAAGTCAATGACAATTGCGGCAGGTTCAAGGTGGGGTTTTATCCTAGGAGCCACCCTGGCTATGGGCCGAACATACGGTTTTTTCAATGCCTCCCATAGTTGGCTTCTACGCGGAAGGCTTATCGGACGCTCCACTATTCGGACCACACCATAGTTAGATGCAGTTTCTGAAACATTAAACAAGCCAATTTTATAACAGCAGGATATATTTTAAAGTTCATCTGTTTTGCTTACACAACTTTTGTATCAGTTCTATATTGCTATTGGTTTCCTTGTATTTTCTGTTTTGTGTCATTTCTACTCCCTGGTAATAAAAGAATTCTTTCGGGAGTCTTCACAAGAACATGCTGAAAAATTATTTACCTCCCACGATCTGATTACAACTCAAAACTGCAAAATCAAAGATTTAAAAAAAATATCAAGTCAGATACAAAATCAGTTGCCATGTTGCGCATTGAACATGTAGATTTTCAAGGATGCAAAATGCATAATTCCTGTTCATAAATGTATTACTAGATTTTTGTTTTCATATTCCATTTAGTTTGTTATTACAAACATGCTCAGTAACTTTAACGGTGATTAATTTGTTATGTACAAATTTAACAAAGGCTTTCGGAATATAATAATTGCTAGTACATAATGTTGAAAGTACCTGTGAGTGTTGTATGTGGAAACTGTTGTTGGAGCCGACTAATGAGATCCGGAATTTCCCTGTACGACCGGGGAAGAAGGCTAATCTTGACTCGTGATGCTTCCATGATTGCAACTTGCATTTTAGGCAGGCAGACAGGATATAAATACATTTACCAATTCCTGCTTCCAGCAAGGTAACCTGCAATGTTCCGTACACGCCCTGTCCGCCTTGTATGCACCTTGATGCATGGTTTCAACAAGATGGTAACATTAATATTTCATTTATTTTTCAGACGGCTTCACTTTACAAACAATTTAATTCCAAATCAACAACCGAGTTCCTCCAAAGGCTAAAAATGACAGACTTGGAGGTGTCAAAACCCTACCCTGTTCTACGATTCAAACAAGTAGAGACGAAAAATGCACTATTTGGAGCCAAGGCTCCAACACGCACGTCTACATCGGTATTTCATTTAAAGTTTGATATTTTATCCATATTCCTCTTTTTTACAGAATGGAAGCAAAGTTGCATAGGCCTAAACTAAAGGCTGTCAAGGGACTGGAGAGGGTTGGCGCTCTGGACTTGACAGACCCGGCAAGTTACCCAATCGTCGGCATGAGACCTCATACTCATCCTACCTTTCTAAGAGAAAGTAAACTTTAAGAGGGTTCCCTACCCCGCCGAAAAACGTCAGAAAACCGCTTTGCGCGGTATCATATAGCGATTCTAGTTTTAACATTTAAATTGTGAACCAAACACCATTTTGTATATAAAGAGTGGTTCTACTAAGTTTGCTTTTTAAAAAATGTCTATGCTTACGCAATCAAGGGCAACGACTTGTCAAAGTTAGTGAACTTTACAGTTTAATAATAATATCTTTTTATGAAATTATCGATTTTTAATAAAGCAATATTAGTGCGAAATTTAACTAAAAATATCAAGTCACTTTTAGTTTTAAGAAAAGATTATTTTTTGTATGTGCAAAATGAAACCGCGTAAAACCTTGCACGGCGAAAAGTGCTATGATTCTGACGGACTCTAGCGACCTTTATCGAAACTACTGTCTCGCGGAGGGATACAAATTTTACACATTCTTCATCATTCATAATATTTCCCCCAAGATTTATCCATGACACATAATAACATTATATTAATTATTATAAGCCAGTTAAGCAGTATAAATGAATACAGCCAAGAACCTGTTGATAATATAAAAACGTTCAATCATATAGGTTGTAGCATACTTGTGAAACAAAAACGTTTCAAATTAATATTTCATTTGAATAAATTAATCTTAAAACTGGAGCAAATAAGTTCCAAGCTGTAGCGTTTTTCAACCTTGCCAAATGCAAAACCTGTGCGACGACGCGCTGTGGTGTGATCCTAGGGCGGCAGGCGCGGCGCGGCAGAGGAATTCCCTAGAAATGGAGTGAAGGGTTGTAAAACTTTGGGCTCTTTTATTGGTTGTTTGCAATCGGTTTCTCTTTTCCGCCTAGATAGATATTTCGGCATTAGTTGTTTGGACGAAGACATCCAGAGTGGTCGTTTTAGTGAACTCGTGTCGTGTGTGTGTTGTGTCTATTAGTGTATTTGATTTGCAATTAGTACGATTGTAAATATCCAGTTTATTAATCATGGGTGGTCCAGTAAAGATCCATTCCCAGCGGCAACACCGCCGTAAGAAAAATCGTGGCGGAGAACGTTTGGCCGAGTGGAGACTATTACGTCGTACTCGCGAATATGAAGAGATGCGCGATAACGGAGAGTGACAGCTAGTGTCGTGCCAGAACCTATGTCGGTAGAACCTGACTGGAAGAGGCGCGCAACGGTCTTGAGTCTGTATGAACGGCGTGAATAGGTTCAGGGAGGTAAGCCCGTTGTCACCAGTCGCCGAGGGTTGTAAATCAGAGAGAGGGAACTAGGGGAGAAAGTGAAAGTGAGTGCACTGCTGGGGCGGGTTTACTAGGATGGGCCTCCTTCCACTGCGGAGGTGTCCTGGCGGTGACACGACCAGCAGACAGCAATCCTAGGGAATATTTTGTCGTCTTGTAGTTCCAACTAAACTCACCAGGGTCGCAGAAAATTGAAAACAGTTTGAGGTAGGGAACCCCCTTAAGTAATCTATAGATTAGTCAATGAAAAAAACCTTCTTCTGAAATGGTGGATGGTTTGAGTCTTTGGTAATATATTTGTGTATATATATATCTATTTGTGTGTGTTTTCTTTAAGTAGATGTCAAACTCAAGTTGCTTTACTGCCTTTATTACCATCACATCTAAAAATGGTAGTTTTCCATCTAATTCTGTTTCTGTAGTGAACTTTAACGTTGGGTAAAATCCGTTGATTTAGTCGGTAAATCGACGATATAAGCAAAAAGAAAACAAAAGACTTGTAACACATGTTTATAACAAGCCATCCACAGTAACAACAAAATATAACAAGACTACAAGATTGCACCACTCATCCTACACTCATCTCCATTCACACTTGGCTTAAAATACCTACTTTGTATGGTCGCCATTTCATTGAAAAGTATTAAAGTAAGTATAACTTACTAGCAAATAACAATATACAGTACAAAAGGGAAAATTTTAGTTGTTACTATTGAGCAAACATTACACTGAAGATAACTCAATATTGGGGAAAATAGTTCCGATCAAATACTGATTATTTTACTTGGTTCTCTCCTATAAAAACTTAATCCCCGAAGTACTAATGCAATTTTTAGCAAACTTTGGTCCCCCGGTACTATATATATGGACGATGTGGTAATATTTTAAAACATATGAACTGTTCAGACGAATAGTGTTTTTAGCCTCTGGGGACATCAAAATGAAAAAGTAAATCGGTCCCTGACCTAGGTATTATCGTGCCACCTACGGTAATGGCAACTTCCCTATAGGGAAATTCGCTAATAACAACCTCTTTGTACTCTATATAAAAATAAACAAGAAATAAAATATCTCTATGTTAAATATCATAGCTTTGGGTTGGTTTCAGTTCTGGTACAAAAAATTCTAGAAATAAAATCCTTTAAATATTTGTCCAACAACAATGTTGTTTTTCTCCTATCTACCTGGTAGTGGAGCCTCAGCAGCTGTTGGTTTGTTGGAAGGGTTGTACACCACCCCAATGCCTTGACAATGTCTGTGTTCCTTGGTATCCCCGATATCCGGGGTTGCCGGCAGCTCATGGATCCTAAACCCTCCAAGACCATCAGGTTTGCTCTCCCACCACAACGAGACCTGAGTAGAGGTGAAAGGAGATATCTGCTGAAGAGTCAGGGTACCCTTCAGCCCATTAGTCTGCATCGCTGACCTAAGTACACACACACACAGAGTATTGCTTTACATTCTTCTTTACGAAATAGTTGTGTTATGAATTAATAAGCATCAAATATGGATAGAGTTGGGTAAAATATCAACATTCAAACAAACCTAAAAAGTCATTGCACAATAGACGACGTGTTTATTCCATTTCTGGAGAATAGTAGGATACCATTATTATACTGTAAGTGGACTTCTCGTCCTGTTGTTAAATATGAAACCTCTTTTACGATTATCGCTTAGGTGTGGTGATGTTACATAAATGGCTTTCTCATTTATAAAGTACTAGGTGAAACCCGTCGAAATCGACAGTTGCTTTAAAGGCTTGCGCTAATTCATCTAACTGCGATAAATAGAGTGAAATTATAAAAAAAATTTGAGCATTTAGCATTGTTTAATGAATAATAAATATAAGTATAAAAACAATATAATGTCCGTTAGTTACAAAATATGGTTGATCATTCAATGAATAACATATTTCTTATACAGTACGCCATGGGAGTTATTGTTACTATGTTGGTTTCTCTTCTTTTAGAGGAATATATGAAGAATACTTTTGGAGGAACCTTTAATTAGTATTAAAATCGTATTGGTGGATCTTTTGTGGTAAACACTTCCACGATTACATCAGTGTTATGCCGTTTAATCTAAATATCTGTTTGTTGAGAAGGCACGTTCTTAATTCAAACGGAGGCCCACCCTAAAGCTGTGTAAGTTTGATTTTTTCCTTCGTTACATTGGTCATCATACCGTACTTCTGTGCAAAAAATTGCCCTCTAGCATAATTTTGATAAATTGGTTGCTGGGTTACTGTTAAATCTGGAATTGCATGAGATGCGGATGTCATGTTTAACTGCCATATTGTTTTTAGTGGTCCGATTTCTATTTTCTTTATGTTTATTGTTTAGTTGTATCAAGACCTGTAAAATGATACCAAACTCGACTATACTTCCTGTTTGACAATTTTAAGCTACTCCCAACCCCCACTACCCCTAAGGGCAAAATTTTTAAAATTTACCATCATTATTTCAACTTATACCCTTCATATCTAAACAGGTTGCCGCAAACCGATTTCAAATATCTCAAATAGTTAAAAAGATAAAGGGGGGTGCAAGTTAATTTTGAGCCACCCTCATGGTTTTTTTTATTTGATACGTTTTAGGGCACCATTTTGTTATTAGTGGGCCGATTTTAGTTTTATTTATGTAAATTGTTTTGTTTCGTCAAGACCTGTAAAATAATACCAAACTCGACTATACTTGCCATTTCAAAATTTTGAGCTACCCCCTACCCCCGCTACCCCTAAGGGCAAAATTTTCAAAATTTACCATAATTATTGTAGCCTTTCATATCTAAGAAAGTTGCCGCAAACCGATTTCAAATATCTCAAATAGTTGAAAAGTTAAGGGGGGGTACAAGTTACTTTTCAGCCACCCTGTATATATAGAAGATAGATGGATTGGGTTACTTTTAAAGTGCATGCTTTATTCTTAGGACATAAAAGAAGCAAGATAAAAAAAATATTTTTCTACTTTAATAATTTAAAGATTGGGAAAATAACCAAAAATAAATATTAAAAATCTAAACCCATCATACATGGACTAAAAGTTACCAAAAAATTGAAATGCCTTAATTAATCAACATATTTAAAACTTTTTAATTGTTTTAGGCTAAGGGTAAGGGAGTATTTTTAATCTGTGGTACAAGTGTATGATGAGCAATTTATGTTAGTATACTTCAAACACAAAGCCGGTATTTCAGTCAAAATTTCCAATTATCAAATTACAACCTCAACGATTAATAAGAAAACTGCTGTATTTCCAATAGTAAATATATAAATACTAGTGGCTTGTAGGGACATAAGTCCCTAAAAAGCTGAAATGTAAAACAACATATTGCAATTCCGGTATTTAAACAAACTCAGAATAACATTATCTATGTGTCAGAATAGGCATCCCTACACCATATCTTTTGTGTAAAAACCAGTTTGTTGTTCTTCTTTGTTTGCTTTTGTTGATGTCATTTTCAATAAATAATTTGAATCACTCCAGTGGTTTAACATGAAAAGGCAGCAAACATATCATTGTTTGTGAATAAATACTGGTTTACTAAGGTAGCTCTGGTCTTGTGGTTAATGATGATAAATAAAAGCTTCCCTGTTTGGAATTTTAAAAATTAATTGGAGGTTCGCCTTCAGATGAGTTGAAGACGCCTGCAATTTCATCTGCAGTAGGCTTATTATACCTACGACGATCCATATTTATCCTGTCTACAAACCTAAGTTCTAATTCACTGTCACCTTGTACAACCATTTCTTCCGAAGCTCTTTTGTAAATTTGTGCAAATGGATTTTCTAATAGAATTTCAGCTAGTTTTGACAATATTTCAGGTTTTAAGTCACTATTTTCTCGACGCCTTTGACGAATTTCTGTTGCTGTTGATGTGTCAATAATGTACAATTGGCCATACACGGGGTCTTCATCATGTTGAGGCAGCAAATCTGAGATTGAGCGATAAATCTGTCCTTGAATTTTGAAACAGTATGGTCCTTTTCCTGGAATATCTTTCTTACTGGCTGAAAAATAAGCAAAAGCCATCGCACTGTTGTATTGTCGAATGAATTTATACAGTTGTGGGCTCTCTTCAAACAAATTTTTAAGTTCTACATTAGTTTTTGGCTGAGGAAGGTTAATAAGTCCGTTATGGCAACATGTCATAAAATGATTATTCGTTAGTTCTTCTCTAAAATGAAGAGCACTACATTGAATGCACTCTTGGTCCAGTAATCCTGCATCATGGATATTTAAATTTCTTTCGTCTACCATATGGGTCTCCTAAAAAGGGGTTGTAACATATCTTGATTAAGAAAAAGAATTTACAATTCCCCGGTCTCCAAGGACTGCGGCGAAGACTTCGATGGTAAATGGTAAATGGTAAATTAAGTTCGTCATTATCTACTCTTGCTCTTCTACGCGCACTGTCATTCCTATGAACAGCTCCCCGCCTTTGTGGTCTTCCCCTGGCGTTCATATTAATTACAGTACTTATAATGAAAAGAATATATATCCAGCAGCCTACATACCAAAACATCTTGAATCCCTGGTGATTTTATAAAAGTATGATCGAATATGATTACTCTACGTTGTATATTCACTGCACTAAAAAAATATTTACTTACGAAGGAATGCAAATACACCATTTTAGAACCAATAACATTTGTAGGTTATTTTAGTTGTATATATTAACACAACCTTAACCTTAAAATGTGTAGAAATATAAAGAAAACAACATCATTTAAAATAAACTTGAACATATGATTTAAAAATAAAAACAAAACAGAAGTTAGATTTAATTTCGACTCTTTGATTATTTATACAGAATATTTATTCTATGTCGTTTATTCCTTTAACACGACAATAACGTAAAAGCATGAAAAAATGAAACTTGAGTATATGATTTAAATATAAACAAAGAATGCAGACGTTTTTCCGATTAATCTTCAAGATTTCAGTTTTATTATAGTATACATTTCATATAGTTGACTGGCTAAAAGTAAACCAAATGCGTGTATTGATCACTGTTTTCAAGATATAGCACGATCAGCTGTATTGAAGTAAACAGAAATCAGCAGTAAATGACTTCTGTTTTAATTTCAAAAGATGTAAACAAATTAAACCCCATGTTGTTTTAATGGGAGAAGTTTTATTCTGTTGCGAATTTATGGTAAAAAAATAAGAAAAATGAATAGTTTTCCCTCAAAATTCACGTCAAGACCTTTAAAATAAGACCCCTCCCATCCTTCTACGGCCATTCAGTCACTCACAATTTCTTTACAAAAATTTGACTTACGGAATTATATATACTAGTTGCTCTGCCCGTGCTTCGCTACGGGGTGAGGAATTATATATATATAGATTCTTTATTATGTTTTTTTATTTATCAATCAAACTTAAAAAATCCTATTTGCGAAATAAATATTTTTCTCTTTTATAAAACTGAACACATAAGTCTCATTCATGGTCTGGTGCTTACTTGACAATGGTAGGCTCCAATGGGGTGATGCGAGCACAGGCTAAGTAAGACTCTGTGTGCAAGTTATCATACAGCACAAGGTACAGATGGCGCTGCTTGTTGCGAAGATCCAACAAAGTCAAGTTGGCAGAGTGATACAAGTTTTTTTTGCCTGCACTGTGCGACAGATCAAGATCACTCATTACAAAATGAATAACAATGATTTTAGCCATGTTTATTTATATTCAAATATTTTAACATTTACAGACTAGAATACCAATGAATTTCAAGCGAATATTTATTCCTACAGTCACCCGACAAAGTTGGCTTCCTTCGCAGGGCCTGATTACCCATTAGGCTAATTAGGGTGGAGCCTAGGGCGCCAGTCAGCCAAGTGTTTTAGAGGGGCGCCAGACAGCTAATAAGACTTTAAGTTGGGACCGGGGGCGTAAAAAATGTTTTATTCCAAAAAAGGATTCGCGCAGATAGGGAAGGAGGTATTGAGGGGTGCATTTTGTAGATTTTCATAATCATTATATCCATATATAAAGCCCAAAGTACCCATGAACTTTTGAGAAAACTACAAGTCACACCCCCATAAACCATATACTTAAAATATTCGTAATGACGAGAAAACATGTGCAAAACTATCCATTGTTTCATAAATTGCCCTTTAAGGTCGTAATTCCTTTCTAAAGGGAACTTTCCATATACCTAATGTTAAAAATTCCTTTAGCTGTACTTATTTGTTTATTTCAGCTTAACTTAACCAATCAATAGTTTTATTAATACTTATGAAGTCAAACGGGGTGAAGCCAGTGGGTTACAGCTAGTTTATAGTAATAATTGATTTGTAAAAACATTTAACGATACTTTTTGTTGCAGATAAATACATATAAATGCTGTAAACTAAGTAATTCCATCTAAAGGTCCTAATAAAATTGGTTTAGGCCTAGGTGATTAACAGAGTTAATTTAGAAAGTACGTATAGGCCTACGCATATTATTGTTTGTTTTTTTGATATTTTAGGTTAGGTCTACTTTTGATTTAATACAATCATATGTTTAATAAAATGTAAAATAAATAATTATTTTAAATAAAAAAGTTTTACATTCCTTGAACAACCGATTTGTTACTATTTTAAAAGTTCCTAATCAAACCATGTATTAATTATTTATGATCAGTTTTCTTTTGTTTTTAAATAAACTGAATATTAGTATAATGCCTTTGGCCATTTTTAATTTTGAATTCAGTATTAGTATTCATTCTTTGAAATTTTGAAAGTGGTAGCGGAGAGGAGGGGTAGTGGAAGGGAGGAGGGGGCGCGAAAAACGTCAGCCTACTGGCGACTAGACCCTTAATCAGGCCTTGCTTCCTTGTACTGTTTATAGTACAGAAAGCTGCTAATTGCTGCATATTTATACTTTGTCGTACGGTTTATACTTTGGCGCACATCAGGATTCCAACGAAACAACAGAAAACAGCAAGATTCTATTATGCACGTAATCCGTGTACGCTTGGAAATAGGTTGGCAACACTTAAAGATAATAATATTATGAGCAGCTGATTGACTAATGACTATTATAACTACGATTTAACCTGTTATTTCGTGTTTATAGTTTCGGTGTTTCTGAACTTTCTGGACTTTTCTTTTTAAACGTTTTTAAAACATTCCTACGATCAAATAAACATTAAATAAGAAAATAAACAATAAAGATAAAAATAAAAATAATAAAGAAGAAATAATAAAGAGAATAAACAAGAAAATACCTTTAAAGCATTTTTTTAGGCGCGGAAACCACTTCAAATCACAAAAACATATGGAACTATATTCTCAAGTCGCAGAGCACATTTATTGCCAAGGAAAAATAGCGGAGTGATACGGACCGGGTACTACTTTCTCTAGGGCACCTATTTGTGTTGCTAGCTGAACCTAAATACGTGTTGTATAGTGTTTGAAAGACTAATTATTTATATGCTTTATAGTGACTGTAGGAAAAATATAATGTGTAACACGAGTGAAAAAGGCCTTTGCTGCACTCGAGATCATTCCGCACAAGCCGCCTCTTGTGTGCAGCAAAGTGCCACTTTGCCCACTAGCTACACAAATAACTATTGTCAACACTTGATCCAACAAGAAACTAAATAAAATGAAATGAAAAATCCTTTATTTATTCAGGCAAGCCTTTCTTACACTTGTCATGACTAATATAAAATGAATATATTACAAATAAATAAAATGAAGAACTTAATCTAATATACATTTACATTTTGATACTTAACATGAATAGATATATTTCATATTTACAAAGCAGCTAAAAGATTACAAAGATGAATAAGCAAAGAGGCTATAAAAAAAGGAAAGCATGCCATTATCAGTTAATAAAAGGATACATTTATTTTTAATTTTCTAAACAGGTACAATTTTCTGACCAACTCTTTACAAACCTTGTGAGTGTGACCATTCAAAGTTAACTTGGGATAAAAAGTAAATACCAGAAAATCTATTCTAGTTCTGCAATGAGTGCTTGTACGTAATATGTTTTATTTTATATTTATTGTGTTTCAATCATTCATACATTCTATTTGCACAAAACCTTTTCACTGTATTTTGGCTGGGATGAGACTATGACCACTCTGATACATATGGGTTGTTAATTAAGAATCAGCAAAACTCAAATTAACATGAGTTAATTACATGAGTTTGTAAAATATGACATTATGTACCTGCTTTCAGTTCGCTTGACTCCAATGTTGACCTTCCCTAGTCTAGAGTCAAGGTCACCAGAGCCTCCTCCGTCATGGGTCTGATAGAGGACTTGCAGAGCATTGCAGTCTCTTCTAGACTTGTCTGTAACATCATGGGTCTTTAAAAATAGCTTATTTTTATAATGTACTTATAATACAGCTGTCCAACTATTTACAGCTCCTATTTTGGTGTATTTGATTCAAACTGTGTTATCTACATCTTTCTTCCCAGATCTACTTAAATTCCCCATCGTTAAACCATTGTATAAGAAGGGAGTTAACACGTTTACTGCGTATGTACGTGAGTATGAGGTGAGTAATCTCGTCACCGCTAGCGCTTATCAGTGGCGCACGACGAGTATACTTGTCGAAGCGCCATTTACAAACTATTGTTCCATTGTGAGGTTAGCCCTTGCTATTAAATTGTCAATTATCAAAGTCAAAATAAGAATAGTCAATTTCAGTACAACATTTCCATCACTGTTTATTTACTCATTTTACAATATTAAAACATGTGATAATTAATTAATCTTCACAAACAAATCATACAGCATAAATATAAAGATTAATCAATGGTCATACATATATAAGAAATTAGTCATTAACACCTGCCGTGAGATTTTTTTTGCTTGCAGCTTATTGTGCCAGTTTTATACTTCAATCCGGTATATTTCGTTTTCAGATCCGACTATTTTATCGGTGTAGGGACAAATTTATTTTAATGTGGGGTTTAACCTTTGATTTAATGACATGGGTTCTTGTAAAACTACATCCACAACGACTAGGACACAGTACATGCTATAATATGCCTCTCCTATTGGATGAAGTTCAAATATTTTCGCGCTCTCATCGACGCAGCGCAATCGTTGTCCGTGCTTCCAGCAGCGGCCAACCATTACGCAGCCGCAGCGAGCTTGTTTTTTACAGATGTGAAGAATTATAGGCCTATTTCTCTTATGTCTACTTTAGTCGTGAAGTTTGCATTTGGGTGCCTAAAACAATTTTTTGATGAACACAAAATGTTTTCAGATTTTCAGCATGGCTTTCGAAAGGGTAGGAACACTATCACTGCTGCTGTTGATTTTGTTCACACTGCTCTTGAAGAGCTTGATGAAGGTTGTAAAGTGGCAGCGCTTCTGCTAGACCTTTCGAAGGCCTTTTTTCGGGGTGGCCATTTTATTTTATGGGCAAAACTGATTGGGTATAAAGTTCCAGGATGTTTAGTGAGTCTGGTGGAATCTTATTTTAACATTCACCAAAAAAGCAGCACAGTCTCTTTTCATGATGGCATGACAGTGTACCAAGGTGAAACAAAAATGGTAACCTCAGGGGTTCCACAGGGCTCGATTTTACCCAGATAGCCTGCAAGCTTTCTGTAAACATGGTGTGTTTTTTTTTTTCGTTATTGATGTTAGAGAGGATAAATTTATATTCTTGTCATATAGTACATGCTCCAATCTTTAGGCTATCAAGCGTCTATGTAACTTCGGCCTATATGACTTCTTCTTCTTCTAAGAATGAAAGTATTATTCTTCCTATGTCCGGAGTCGGTTGTGAGGTTATGTAATGTTCTCGTTTCTACTTCATGTGTGTGTTGTGTAGTAACTATAGAAGACAATAAAATGTTAATAGTGGCCTACCAAGTAAAAACACTCTACTAAAATGGTTACTACAACTAATATCCAACGATTTTAGTACCCATATATTTATACAAATTTGTATTGTATTTTAAGAGTAAACAGCTCCAAGTATACACTCTTAGTTCAACCTCCGTTAATTAATTTTCTGTTTTATAATTGTATTCTACATGTTATCTTGTTAAAGAGTATTTTTAGAAGAATTTATAGCTTTTGAATTCTTAAATAAACTTTTTATGATAAAGGAATGCTTGTTTTAATATTTTCTGCTGTCTTAAACAAATTTTGGCTTATGTAAAATGTATTTTTTCTTTTAATATAATGATAAAATAATTAATAAGATACTAGTTTTCAATAACTTTTGAAAACTAAATTTTTGCTATTACATTTATAGAAAAAATTATTATGATTAAATTTAGCTAAGGTTGAAGATATTTGATACAGTCACAAGAAGAATTCTTTGCTAAATTCAACAATGAGATTTAGTGCACATTGGTAGCAGCATAGACAATAGAGGAAATATAGACTGTCAAAGAAAGGTTTTGCGATCTGCCGCTAGAGCGTTATCGGCGTTCGATATCGGTTATCGGTATTCTGTTCGGTTTCATCGTCGACTACTCGCCAGCTGTTACCAGCACTACCACTCTTGCAAACGAAATGCTTACTATATCTCTAATATCGTCTTCTGCAATTGCGTCAAAATCAAGCATCCTCCGCGGTCCGCGGCTGTGTAGACATCATCATTGAATGCCGTGGTCCCGAAACGTCATCGTCTTCCACGATTGCGGCAAAATCGTGAACATCTTTAGCGGCCGTGTAGACATTATCGTTTTGCGTGATCGTAGAAAAGACGTGATCATTTTTCCCGCGGTCACGAAAACGTCGTCTAGCACGGTCACGGTTTAAGAACATCTCCCGCGGTCGTGTAGACATCATCATCGTCTTGCGCCGTCACAGAAACGTGATCGTTGTCTAGCGCGATCGCGGTGAAATCATTAAATTTCCCGACTTTGATATCAAATAAAGACTAAATCCCAATTTTTCAAGACCATTTTGAAATTCAATACTAATACCTGACTTTCCTGTTTTCCCCGACTACTAGACACCCTGGTTAATTAGATTTTACCTTGCAAATATAAAACAAAACCTTCCAATAAACCACTTCCTAAAATTATGGATTAATAAAGAAAAACTTTGAATCATTGTAATGAAACTACAAAAGTATAACAAATATATGTTTTAAAAAAATACAATAAATGATGACATTTAAATTAATGTACTGCTTGATATTAAATAAAAAAAGGGAGAAAGTATGTGTCAGATTTCTGATACTGTTTATAGCTTCGTTAGTTGATGTAGGCCTAGTTGAAGTTTACCATAATAAGTTGTTCTTTCATTTTGATTTGGTTAACTAACACGTTCGCTACTGATCGCCAAATATTTGCGACACTGAGGTCATTGCCACTGCCCGAGGTATACATTTTAATATTACACATAGACTGGGTGTCACTTGATTAACAGTACATGCAGACCGTGGGCCAGTGATGCTGCATAGTAAAAATCAGTTTTGCCAACTATCACGACGTCACTAATCATCATATCCACAGACCAAGTGATGCACATACACGACAGACATCCCTGTAGACCACTGCAGAGAATTCGGGGCCTTTAAATACAACAGCTCAGGGGCTACACAGATGGATTTAAATTGTATACATGCACGTCAAGCAACCCTAGCCATTCAGTACAAAAATGTAAAGTTGAAACTACTAAACACAGTACAAAATATTAAATTCAACAAAAACTGTTTGAAGCACGATATAAAGCCTAACTATGTACATATCAATAAAAAATGTAGGCATCCCACTTCATTCACTACAGAACACAGAAGAAAACACAAACAAAATAAACACTGGATATTTCGAGGCCACTGGCCCCTTTCTCAACATGGAGAGTCACATTAGATATAATGTGAGTCACATATCTAATGTGACTCTCCATGTTGAGAAAGGGGCCAGTGGCCTCGAAATATCCAGTGTTTATTTTGTTTGTGTTTTCTTCTGTGTTCTGTAGTGAATGAAGTGGGATGCCTACATTTTTTAAGGTAAGCCTGCTTATCCTATCCTGTCTCACACCTATTCTCAGGCAATTAGCCCTTTCTCTCCAAACCTATGTACATATCAAGATAAGTAACACCTCTGTGGCTGCTAGAAAAACTAAATCTTCAGCCGAAAAAACTTGGATACGGAACAAAACCTGTATTACAAAAAGAACATGCTTAATACTTTAGCCTACAAGAAATACTTAAGAGTTCTCAAACTCAACACATCCATCATTATTTCCAAAATTACTTGAAAACATAAATGAGTCAATAACCAGGATTATAAGGAATAAAAAAGCTACTATCAGAAAGAAGTTAAACCGCCTCATGAATGCCCAACAAAGTAAAGAAACCATTGCTTTATTTGATTTCCATTTTTATCCCCGTACCAATAACTGTACAAATATTATCTTCAATAACAACGAGATGGCTATCTTAGATAAAGGCTTAAATTACAACCTACCACGATCAGGCAAGAAAGGTTATTTTGATGAATTAATTAACGCTGAGTGTGTTATAAAAGCATTACCTGATGATGACACAAAACAAGCTATGCGTCATATTGTAAACAAGAAATTTGAAAATAAATTTAAGAATAAAGTTAAAACTCCAGCATTATCACAAACACAACGTCGTAAATATTCTACTTTAAAATCAATCAAAGACAAATTAGAAGTAAACGATGCTATGCTATGTAAAGCCGATAAGGGCAACACCATAGTTATTTTGTACAAAACTGATTATGCAAACAAAGTAAATGACTTTATCAAGAAGAACAATGTCGTCGTCTTAGATAAAGATCCGACTGACTTATACCAACGCAAAATAAAAAGCCTTATTAATAATAGCAAATCTTTACTATCCTTAGATGAAATTAAGCGCCTCACCATCAGAACTCAGTTCCCATTGGTGTGGGAACTGGTGTGGTGAGTTTCTTTTCATATACAGCTGTTTTTGTTTTTAAATTTGTTTTCAGTGTAATTCTTATGGGGAAAATTCGACCTTTGAGAGCGTCCTCGTCAGTGGCGGCGATAAGAACCCACGGGCCCCCCCGCAAGTTTGTTCGCCGGGCACCCCTCTCACAATGATCTTTAAAAACATTTCCCCATGTATTACCGCCTAAACTAGCAATTTTTCAATAAACTTGACAAGGCATCTCCCGAGGCGTCATTATCGTCTTCCATGATCGCGGCAAAATCTTAAATACTTCCCGTAGTCAAAAGTCATGGAAGAAACATTATCAAAGTTTACCGTGATTGCAAATGCAACCAAACCTATGACATAATTAGATAGCAGCATCATCGTCTCCCGCGTTCACGGCCCAATCTAATATCACGGCCTAATATCTCCCCGCGACCCGTCGGTGGTGATGGGGAAATCATTTTTCCGTAATCACGATTAATCCTAGATATATCTCTCTCTAAAAAAGAAACGTCATTATCGTCTTCCGCAATCGCGGTAAAATATTGAACATCTGCGGCCGCGGAGACATCGTCATCGTCACCCGCGGGGAAATGTTCTCGTCGATATCCGCGATTGCGGCAAAAGCGTATGCCTAATCTTTCAATTTCGTGAGGGTGATCCTCATGGAGTCAACAACCCGATTTTGAACCGATATGATTTGGCCTGAGGCCCTTAGTAACATTTTTAGTGCGTTCAAGATCGGGTTGCTTTGAAAACGGTTGATTTTTATAATAGGCCTATGATGTCGATTTTCGAGCCGAGCAAAGCCTGGACTACAAGCTTGAGAGATCAAGCACAAAGTCAGAAAATCAAGCTCGAGCCGATTTTCTCAGTATTCAATAAAATAATGCACAATTAAAAGTAAAAGCTTTTATGTCCGTGAGGATCACGCTCACGAAATTGAAAGATTAGGCCTACGCTTTTGCCGCGATCGCGGATATCGACGAGAACATTTCCCCGCGGGTGACGATGACCGAGGCCACATTGGTTATAAATACGGCCCTATTATTATGCAACCAATTTTGACTGCGCCTTCACACAATCCACGAGGACAGTTCTCGCATGACTGATGACAATTCTTTTACTTAGGTTGTTAGATAATTTATATCGATCAGTCAAGTAATAGTGTTAGTTTAGTTGCTGTAAAATACTTGAGCAAATTTATTCAAATATAAGTTTGAACAAATTTTCATCATAAAAAACGTAGCCTATTTTAATTCTCATATAAATATTGTTATGATAGGGGACCCGTGTGGCTGAGCCTGTCACACTATCACGGGCCCGTGTGCCGGTAAAATTTACCGAAAATCCCGGTCAAGGCTCACGGGCCCCCCTAGCTCGCGGGCCCCCCGCACCGTGGGCCCTGCGGGCCAGCTATCGCCGCCACTGGTCCTCGTGCCCTTAAGGGTAAGAGTTTTTACATTCTAAAACCTTTATGCAAAACTACGAATTGAGACGAATTATTTGACATCTCAAACGTTAGAATCGGTAGAGAAATAACGGAAAAGTTTTGTTCACAAAAAACAGCCCTCACGTATTAATATAAGAGATACAGAGCTGAAAATGATAACAAATTGTAGGGAATTTAATTTACTTCAAAAAAGGTTTCAATGATTTCTTTTGTAAAACAGGTACATACTTTTCGGTATTTGTAAAAAATTAAGAAAGTACAAGAAAATGTAGTTTTTTCAACCACTGAGCAGCAAGCACAGGTCTTTTGAAACTGCAAACTTAGTTTTACATTACCATGTCTCTTAACAACATACCAAAAAATTATAATTACCCCATTGTTTGCAAACAAGGATGTCTTAGATGACTGGTCTAGATAAACTATTGAGGTAACATAAACACTAAACAGCCTCTGCTGATAAATTCATCTAAGTACAATGTTTCACCACCTAAATAATATACTGCTATAGTGTACCTGCTTCAGAGTCTAGGATGTCAGTGGTGAATATCTTCCACTTGTGTAGGGAAGGCCTGGCTCGTTGATGTGTGTGGTACAAGTCAGTGAGAATGGCAGAGTCAGTGTCTCCGCTGCTGCCGAGCCACTGGAACATCACTGACCCTGACACAGGTCCGTTAAACCTTGCCTCAGCCAGTCTAACACTTGTCCTACCATCTGGCTGCAACACACATATCATTAAACACTGGAAATTACGTTAGTGCGATTCTAAAGGTAAATCTGCAGGATGAGAGCAGAGAATGGATGGCCGTGTAGCTTACTTAAAAAAACACCACTTTACCCTGAGCCGTTAAGCCCACAAAACCCTGAGCCCTGAAGGGTGTGCTACTAATTCAGGTAGGGGATACTATAAGAGGTATAGGAGTGAAAATGTGTTAATAAAGTCATTAGTTTTATCCATCATAAACTAGAATCTTTGCCTACAATTAATATATTAAACTAAAACTACTTTTGCTTACTGATTTATCAGCTCTATGGATCAGCTGAACATAATTTTAAGGTCGAAATTACGGTATGGCTTGTGTGTATTTATGTTCTATTTAATTTGTTGTTAACTTACTTTAAAAACGGTTACAACTAATTAGATCTATTATTATGCTAATACTTATCCTCAGATTTAAACCAAAGAGCACACTTTAAAATTGATCCTAATATAAGATGAGATTGTGATAAACATAAATTGGTATCAAGCCTCAGGAACATCAAACTGGCCTTAAAATGGTCAACAGTCTACTTACAGTACCTATCCAAAACAAATGATATTATTAATTCAAGTGTATTATTAATACAAGTACAGGTAAATAAATCTAAATAATAGAACAGAATTACCATCAGAGTGCTGCAGGCTAGATTGTTATTTCCCAAGTTTAGAACCACAGACTGACCCCAAATGCCTGATGGACCAATAAGGTTGATCACATCTGTGGTGTTGTCAGCAGTCAGAGTACCATTCAATGACAACGATCCAAACACTTCATCCAAATTTAACACTCTGGAAATAAAAATTATACCAAGTTATTTGAGAATGTGTAATAATATGTGAAACATATTCACAGTATCGTTCTTGACTAGAAGAGACTTATAATTTACTGGTTTGATTCAAATTTTGTAATTGGAGCATCAGAGCCTATTTTAAAAAGTTATTGAATCTATAGAATACATATTAACCTATCAAAGGTGTTTTTTGCTTCTTGGGATCCTAAAGGATAGAGTAAATAATCCTTGATCTTCAAAATTCACTGAAATATTTTGTTTGTAGTTGTTCGATGAGGAAACTTTGTGCAATATTAACTTTGCTATCTACAGGGTGAATAAAAAGTCAAGACCCCCCCTCTAATATTTTTCCAAGTAAATATACAGAGTATATATTGAAACATTTTTAGTTGTCCCCCGAATCCCCCCTTTTGGGGAACACTCAAAAATTTTTAATGTAAACCCCCTTCAAGTGACACATCATTTTGAAGTGTTTACAAAAACTTAAAGAATGGTGAAAACCAGAGCTCGCTATCTCTTCTCTATCCAAAATGGCAGCCAAAATTAACAATTTTACCGTTGATTTTCCACAACATTTGACGGGCTACCATTTTGGATAGAGAAGAGATAGCGACCTATAGTTTTCACCATTCTTTAAGTTTTTGTAAACACTCCAAAATGAGGTGTCACTTGAAGGGGGTTTACATTTAAAATATTTGAGTTGCCCCCCAAATCCCCCCTTTTGGGGGGACACTCAAAAATTTCAAAATGATAAAATGAAACTTTTTGCTAAGATTGCTCAACCACCAAAAGGATATCTCTGTATATTTACTTGGAAAAATAATAGAGGAGGGGGGGGGGTCTTGACTTTTTATTCACCCTGTATATAGCAAAGTTGTGTAAAATCTATCACTTTGTGTGAAATATAGAATGTTATGGCTCCAAGATACTGAGCAGCTTTAACATGTGAACAGGCACTGCTTGCCTTCACACATTACTACTAAGCTTCACTATGGGTAAAATCACACAATAAATGTAAAATTATGGAGCTTGAAACCACCTAAATCATTCAAGACAAGTAAAATTACAATAACAATTTTATTTTATTTTAAAAGACTCTACAATTATATCTCAGTAGCTCATCAAGATCTTATCAGCTGTGAACGCACCTTGAGCCAATCCTAGCATCACTACATCGGTCCTCCAAGACTCTGTAGTCCACCGGGAACCGATGGACAGCCCAAGACACAGTGTCTGGCCTCGCCTCATCCTTGGTCCAGGAGAGCTCTGTCTCCACCTCCACCAGGCTCTGGGTCTGAGAGAACTGAACTGTGCCATGGACTCCGTGACTGGAGAACCTCGCAATCAGCTGTACAGCACTGCCTCCTCCTGTGACTGAGGAAACGTATGTCACTGCTTAGTGCTTATACTTAAATTGAATAACTACAGCAATAATGGAATTTAATGTATACTACTTCTGTTTTACATACAATGATTTGGACTACTTGGCAAAGTGTAGGTCTGAGATTCTTAGCAAACATGATGTAGTCTATTTAATTTATTTTCAACCAAAACTCCTCGGAAGTAGAAAAAAATTAGCACCACAGTTTATTTTAAATTTTATCACAAATAAGAGTCTTTTAGTATAAATACAACTTTTAAATCCACACCATTATTCTTATATATTGTTTTTCTTTTTAACTTGATTATATTTTGTATATGGTGTGCCTTACAGTAGACCCTCTAACATCCGGACTCGGAATTTTCGGTCCTTGGTTTATCCGGTCACTTTCCGGAATCAATAGCAAAAATATTTCCCACGACTCTACATGTAGTCTCAATGATTTGAGCGATCTCATGGTTTATCTATTTCCTGTTCATATACATTTTTAGAGGATTCACTACTCAGTTGAGCACTAGATTCCAAAAAGAGACGTTAACACTACTTTTAACCAATCATAAGTTGTTATTAGATACACATTATTGTTCTAATAATAGATGGGTTTATCCGGCCAAAATGTTATCCGGCCCGGGCCAGGATAGATCTGATTGTATTGTAAATGCTAAAATGTATAAAAACTTGAAACCTACTTTGATGAAAATTTAACTTATTTTAAATCATAAATCTCAAGATTTTGATATTAAAAGGTTATCTACATATTGTTTTCCTAATTAGAGTGACTGAGTAAAAATTTAAAAACGTACGTTTTCATGTCCCTGGCCTTTTACTTCGTAGATACTGGATTTGTAGTTTATTATTATGTGTTTTAATATTTTTTGGGATGGGGGCAACATGTTACACACATTTATTTGGTTTTAAATAGGTTCTAAGTATTTTTTTGGTATTTTTAAAGTCTTGAAATTCACGACCATGACGTGTCCCTAGGGTACATTTTCCAACTTTAACGCTGTTTTTAGACTAATTATTCATGCCGAAATATATAAAGCCATATTTTTATGTCATCAATGGTTATTAAATTTACATAAAAGGAGCATATTATAATTTTATTGTCATTGAAAACTGACTACCATGACAAAATAAGTCTGTCCCTCGATTTGGCGTCACAACCATTTGGGAAAAATTTTCAACTTTGGAGCACGACAGTGGCAAGCCTGGCGTCGATGGAGTCAGTTGGTTTTACAGACTAGTTCGGGGTGTACGTCAGGATTGTAGTGCCGGTCGTTTCGAGTTGAAAGGAGGAATTACAAGATAATAAAGGAAAGATTGTGTTTTTTGTAATTTTGGTGTGTCCATGACCGTACGTAGTCATTCGATGAAGTAGACATGGTGTTGATTTTTGTTTATTAGATATTTCAATTGCTAGATTAACCTAGAAGTCCACTTTGTATCCTCGAACATGAGGTGCAGGGCTACCGCCAGAACAGAGCCAAATAACACGTAATTTCCATACTTGGGAATAACGAATAGAAATTCTATCGAATAGCACTATTCATTAGTTTTTTTTTGCTAACTTCTATTTTATTTGTTTGTTTTTAAATTAACTAACTAATAACTTCAATCAGTTACTTTTTATGGGACTAACTAATAACTTCTAACTAGTTTTTTTTTTTTTAATTTGAATTTTTAACTAACTTTCCCAATTATGCGGAAGCATCTCAAATACTGGTTACTGTATTTATTTCACGTGATCAGTGAGGGTTGCGTGCGGCCGTGAGAGGTCAGTGCCCTTGTAGACAAACAATGCGGGGGGTGGGGAAAGAGAAAGTCAAAGTCCAGTTGCTTTGGAATACAGTGGGCCTGTGGAAGGGTAGTGACGGCCAATATTAACACCCCAAGATGGGTGGGAAGGGGAAATGTTTGTTTGGTGATTGATATATCATCTCAACTCAAGTGTCAAAACATTGTCTTTAGTTGATGTTCATTATCTGACAAGTTTTATGTCATTTGTTTATGTTGTAGTAGAGTGAAAATTTAAAAACGTACGTTTTCAGGAAAAACACTTTGCAAATTTGTTTCCCCTTTTTTCAAAACTTTTATTATTTTTTTGATTTCATTGACAATTGAAGTTTCATAAAATGTCCATGGTAACGCAATATCTTTGGTAGTTTTTTTTTTAAAGAGCATCTTTAGTGGAAAAACACAAAATCCTGTCACGACCATAACAGACGTTTAAATGAATATTAAAAATAGTTAATATTATTTTTATAACTATGTTTTGCTATAAACTAATTTACTTTTATGACCATTATACGTTAAAAAGGTCACTGAGCTTTTGATATATTTGGTCTTTCTAGAAAAAAATAAAAAACTCAAAAAAATTGAAAAAAAGCCAATAAAATCTTTTTAAGTTTGTATAACTCCGAAAAAACTTACCTGAGACCCGAAAAATCTTTATGTTTGCATAGAGGCGTGCTTCTTTTGTGTATAAAACATTGAAATATGACGATATTTTAATTTTTGAAATTTTTATGATAGAAATCATAAACGTGATGGTCAGGGACAAGTGGTACGGTCGTGAGTTTTCTAAAAAAATCTAAATCTTTCTAAACAATCCTTTAATTATACTGTTAGTTATAATAAAAATATGTGTTTCAATTGAACTAAACTGTTCAAATTACAATTATATTAAAGTTATTGTCACGACCAAACACACTATAATCCATAAGGCTGGATAGGTCGTGAAAAAACCCGCGATGGTCGTGAAATTACGTGTTATTTGGCTCTGTTCTGGCGGTAGCTCTGCACCTCATGTTCGAGGATACAAAGTGAACTTCTAGGTTAATCTAGCAACTGAAATATCTTATAAACAAAAATTAACACCATGTCTACTTCATCGAATGACTATGTACGGTCATGGACACACCAAAATTACAAAAAACACAACCTTACCTGTATTAATCTTGTAATATCTTCTTTCAACTCGAAACGACCGGCACTACAATCCTGACGTACACCCCGAACTAGTCTCTAAAACCAACTGACTCCATCAACGCCAGGCTTGCCACTGTCGTGCTCCAAAGTTGAAAATTTTTCCCAAATGGTCGTGACGCCAAATCGAGGGACAGACTTATTATGTCATGGTAGTCAGTTTGCAATGACAATAAAATTATAATATGCTCCTTTTTTGTAAGTTTAATAACCATTGATGACATAAAAATATGGCTTTATACATTTCGGCATGAATAATTAGTCTAAAAACAGCGTGAAAGTTGGAAAATGTACCCTAGGGACACGTCATGGTCGTGAATTTCGAGACTTTAAAAATACGAAAAAAATACCTAGAACCTATTTAAAACCAAATAAATGTGTGTAACATGTTGCCCCCATCCCAAAAAATATTAAAACACATAATAATAAACTACAAATCCAGTAGCTACGAAGTAAAAGGCCAGGGACATGAAAACGTACGTTTTTAAATTTTCACTCAGTAATGTAAAATGTGACAATGTTTGATTAAAACACAAGTACCAGGGGACCGATCTTGTTCGAGGTGTTTGATTTGTTCAAGAGGTAAAAAATAGAGCTTATAAGCCTACAAATATTTTCAGTCTTACTACGATTAATTAAGTAGTAAAGTCAATTCGTTTTTGTTAGACATCCACTTATCCTCAATTTAGTCCACAAAACTTTTTAATTTGGACGATCAATCTATAAAATGTCCACAATAAACTTCAATCAATATAAAACTCATGATACATAACATCTGTTATCTGACGACCGTTATTGCATTAAGTCACTGGGATCGTGGAACGTTGCAACTATAACTACGGGATGGTGTAATAACGTATCAATTCGTGCGGTGCATCGTCGAAAAATACATATCTCCTTGGCCTTTCCTTTAGATTTTTAGTTCAATGTCAGTGTATATTGTTTTGCAGTAAAACACTTAATGTTTTTGAACAGTCATAATTATCCCTTTGGTTAGTAAGACATCATACAATGCAAATGTATTATACAAGCAATTTTCAATAGCATTGAAATTGGAGGAAATCGTAGGAGCCATTTTTTAAATCATATCTTGCGCAATCTTTACTCATATTATAGTATATATTAGTAACCAAGATGTGACATTAAAAAATACTTTAAAACAACTGACAACGAACAACTAATTTCTACTAAAACTAACTTTATTTTCTATCAGTTAGTTTTTCAACTAACTAATAACTTCTATCAGTTACTTTTTAAACTAACTAACTTATAACTTCTATCAGTTACTTTTTACGGGACTAACTTATAACTTCTAACTAGTTTGAATTTTTTACTAACTTTCCCAACTATGTTCACGACCAAAGTTTCACGACCATCGCGGGTTTTTTCACGACCAATCCAGCCTTATGGATTATAGTGTGTTTGGTCGTGACAATAACTTTAATATAATTGTAAATTGAACAGTTTAGTTCAATTGAAACACATATTTTTATTATAACTAACAGTATAATTAAAGGATTGTTTAGAAAGATTTAGATTATTCCAGACAATTCACGACCGTACCGCTTGTCCCTGACCATCACGTTTATGATTTCTATCATAAATATTTCAAAAATTAAAATATCGTCATATTTCAATGTTTTATACACAAAAGAAGCACACCTCTATACAAGCATAACAATTTTTCGGGTCTCAGGTAAGTTTTTTCTGAGTTATACAAACTTAAAAAGATTTTATTGGCTTATTTTCAATTTTTTGAGTTTTTTTATTTTTTTCTAGAAAGACCAAATATACCAAAAGCTCAGTGACCTTTTTATTGTATAATGGTCATAAAAGTAAATTAGTTTATAGCAAAACATAGTTATAAAAATAATATTAACCATTTTTAATATTCATTTAAACGCCCCTTATGGTCGTGACAGGATTTTGTGTTTTTCCACTAAAGATGCTCTTTAAAAAAAAAAAACTACCAAAGATATTGCGTTACCATGGACATTTTATGAAACTTCAAATGTTATTGAAATAAAAAAAATAATAAAAATTTTGAAAAAAGGGGGAAAAAATTTGCAAAGTGCTTTTCCTGAAAACGTACCTACGTTTTTAAATTTTCACTCGACTATACACTTTAATAATTTTATTGAAATCTATACGTGACAAATCCTTCTACATGTAGCAAGTAACAACAGTATGGTGCAAATAGTATTTTATGTTTGGGTGATGATAATAATTGTAAGGTTTAGCTTGTTGTATAGAAGACCTTTGAACAAATTGAGCACAGGTTTTTTTTACATATATTGATAACTTGTTCCTTTTAGGTACCTACATTATTTTAGTTACCACTCTGGGGATGTGTGGGTCATAAATTCTCATCCACTTAAATTAATAAATATGTTAGTTACATACAATAACATAATTACAGTATGATGAATTAGGTTCAATATGACTTTTCATAATAATTAAGGCGGTACAAAGTCCATAAATAGGCTACTGGTACTATACAATATAAAAGTTTTACTGAGAGAAAATTACTTTCATAAAACTTTATGTAAATGCATTAGGCTCTCCCATCCTAATTAACCCTTGCATGTAGGCCTACTGGAAACTTTACCTAAATTGAATAGAAAGTTGTACTAATCTTATTTTATAAAGTACTCTTATACCACCACATCATAGTCTCTTCTAAATAACAATACCTTCTATTTGACAATTGAACAAAAATAACTGTTGTCTAATCATTTCTAGTAACCACTGAATGTAACAACATATGACGATAAGCTTACCTGTTAGAATAATAAGGACTAAAAGCATTTCAAATTAACAAAGAAAATTAAAATGTGTGTATGGTCATTTTCTAAAAACTTGTATTTTTGAACTATAACTTTCTAAAAATGAAACAGATAAACACCTAGAAAAGCATTAGTTGTTGTTGACTTGGCAGTGTGAGTCAAGGAACTGACTGGGTGGGTAACGGGACTTTCACTTCTCAAGGTGAAGGAATTCAGAAAGGAGAAACCATAGACATAGGCACTGCTGCATGCTGCTGCTGCTGCTTCTGGTGGCCGACTACCGAACTACAACTAGAACATTGTTGCAGAATATGTCTGCTTGTGACGTCACTAAGATAATGGTTTGTTGGACATTTAAGTGAATAAAGGTATTTTAATGAAACTAATCTAAAACTATTTATATTTATTGGAGGACAAAAAATACTTGTAGGCCTAGTTGGATTTAACGTTAAATCATATACAGTATTTTAGCAGACGCACAGACACAGCCTATGTCTGCTAATTCCAGAACTAAATAGATGAACAACCTTTGACACATGTATATAGTTAAGTAGTTATAGTTAATTAGTTTAGTTTTTCATAAAACCTTTTTCCTTTTTGTGTATTTGGTTGTGTAATTTTATATGTGTGGTGGAATAAATTCATTCATTCAAAGATAATTCTTTAAATTCTCTGGGTAGTAGGCATACTGAGCATCATTTCGATATTTTAATAATTAAATAAACAATCTCAATGTCTATTTTATGATAGCAATGTGCCATTATTTAAAAATTTAGTGTTTTAATTTAGTAATTGTAAGGGGTAGGCCTAGGGGAGAGTGTTGTACCTTTGACCACCAGTCATATAGTGACATCTAGAGGCTGTATAGGGAAGCTAATGAAACTAGTTCATAGATCAGCCACCAGAGGACTACTTCACCTTGCATTGGAGATTGAAAACTGTGTTTGTTGGAAGATATGTTTATTCATTTTTGCTACTGAAAAGTAAACATTTGTTGACTTATTGTTTGTTTTATAAAATGTATATTTTTCTACAAATAAAAGTGAAAGTGAGGGGTTATTATTTGATGTTTATCCTCTAACTTCTCTTGGATGTTTGAAACTGATACTATCACATATCTTTTGAGAATATAATATAAAATGGCTAGCGTTGTACCTTTGACCACTTAATAGTGGTGTTCCTTTGACCTCAAAGGTACAACATCATCTGTATTCAGTGTAGTTATTACTGGTTTTTATTGAAATGTGTTAATGTATTAATATTAAGCCATTGTTTTGTGGAACCCACAGGAGGTTGCCACCAAGCTCCCCAACACTGCCAAATCAAGTGGATAAGCACATCAAAGAGAATTTTTCAATTTTGCAGTGGACTTTTTATCCTAAAAGTAGAATAAGTTATTTTTTATCTTGATGAAATGAATAATAAGTTCAACTTTGTGTATCTGGTTTTATATTTTAAAAACTGTCATGTAAGATATATATTTGGTTTTTTTAATACCGGTACCTGTTTTGGACTGAAATCGATATGCTGGTCAAAGGTACAACACCTTCTGGTCAAAGGTACAACTGCATGTTGAACCTTTGACCACCATGTAACAAATTTTCTTTATTACTAAAAATAGGTTAAAACTTGTGACAAGGAACTGGAAAAAATATTTAATCCATGGATGAAACAGTTAAGTATCATCGTTGATTGTTTTAAAAATAATTGGTGCTTTCCTGTATCTACAAAAAATTGTTAAGTGAAAACTGGTCAAAGGTACAACACTCTCCCCTACTCTTTAAAAGTTCCTAAGAGTTATAAAAAATAGTGTACAATCAGTGGGATGCCAACTTTTCCCCATAAAATAATGGAAAAATAGGATTTTCTCAAAAACGGCCTGAACGATTTTAATAAAAATAAGTATAAAAATGGGGATAAAAATACAGATAAAAATTCAGTATGTTACAGTCCTTTAAATTCTGAACAAAATGGTACAAATTCCATTTCCATAAAAATTACGGTTCCAAAGTTATTGTAACTTATGTTATTTTCCGATAAAAACAAAAACTGGATTTTAGAAAAAAAGGCCGGTTTTTATTAAAATTAGTATGTTATGTTCCTTAAAATTTTGAACAAAATGGTACAGATCCCATTTCTGTAAAAAGTACGGTTCAAAAGTTATTGTTACTTATGTTATTTCACATAAAAGCCCCATAGGCTACAATAACAAAATATTGGATATTAGGAAAAAAGCCGGTTTTCATTAAAATTAATTGTTTATGGTCCTTATAATTATTTAGTTAAAGAACAACCAAGACTTGAACTTTTTTTAAATAAACCTTCTTATATTGGAAACTACTTTTTTTAGAAAACTTCCTAGCTTTTAAAAAAATAAAAGGGCAAATATAAATTTATGAAAAAACTTAAGGCATTCTTACTTGACATTGCACCTTACAGAATAGAATATTTTAGTAATTTCAATGTTAAATAATGTAGGTAGCCTATAGTATTTTGTAATGTTTAACTGTTTCTTATTGCTAATTTAGGTAGTAAGTAACAATTGACACTATTCATGTATATGTGAATGACTTTTTGAATCTTGAATCTTAATTATATTAACCAAAATAGTGCAACCCACCATTGCTGTAACAATTACGGTTCAAAAGTTATTGCAACTCAATAGAATATAATAGTTACTCCCACCACTTACCCATGATAAAGGTTGTTTACAAGCTTATGGGTGAAAGTATGTGTCAGTTTGCTGAGACCGTTTATTATCGATCTTGCAAATACTATAATTAGTAGATCTTTCTAGGTTTTACAAAACTAATTATTCCTTATTTGCTCATTTTTATATTTTTTAATATTTTAGACTTAACTAGCTGAACCCGGCAGACGTTGTCTTGCCTTTGACTATTTATAATTTAAGTACCGTAACGTTTAATTGTCTTATTGAAGTGCTTATAACTAAATTAAAATACGTACGACAACTAATGAAACAAATATAGTACAAAGGATAACCGATTCTTTATATAATTAATTATTATATAAATTATATATATTATATAAAATTATATATATTATATATATATATTATATATATTATATAAATTATATATATTATATAATTAATTATTATATAGCTTAATTATTATATAATTAATAATTAAGCTAGCATAACCTAGCATTAATATAAGAGCAATAGCTCTTATATTAATGCTAGGTTATGCTAGCTTAATTATTAATGGTTATTTTCATTCATGGTTATTAATGACAGTATTTTCAAGATGATCTCGTTCGCATGGCTCAATCACGTCCTGGTTGAAGTTTGTTCGCTACGCTCACTCACCTTTAGGTTGGAGCTCGTTCGCTACGCTCACTCACCTTTAGGTTGGAGCTCGTTCGCTGCGCTCACTTGCCTTCAGGTTCGCTCGTTCGCTACGCTCACTTGCCTTCAGGTTAGCTCGTTCACTACGCTAACTCGCCTCCAGGTTGAAGTTCGTTCGCTATGCTCACTCACCTTTTGGTTGCAAATTAGCTGTTGTCATAAATGTAAAAGAAATAATAGTGCTGCACCCTGTTGGTAATCCTTGTAACTTTAATGCTATTGAACATCATAGAACAGAACCAACTTGTTTAATTGAAACAGCTGTTAAGATTTATTAATTCCATTTCTCATAAGGTTAACATGGGAAACTCCAGAGCCACTGGGGCGGAGCCGATTGGACGGATCACGAAATTGATGGTGTATAAACCTATTCCATGAAATTCTACACGTATGTACCAAGTTTCGTGGCAATCGGCCGGTTCAGCGGTGTCTGAGTTTATCACTGCCAAACAAATATACAAACATCCTCTTTTATACTTATAGAAAAGTGTCAATACCTGTAAAATCTTGTAGTAACTTTTACAACCGGTAAACGGATAGTCTGTATCCCTTAATCTAGCTCCTCTGTCGCAGCACCACTGTACAGATTTAAAATTGTCATTAGAAAATTGGTTCATCCTGCCTGTGTGTAAGTACAATGATTTGCTGAATTTTGTGTCACATGGTTATGGTACCAAACAAAAGTAAATGCAAACCAATTGATAATCAGTTGACCAATTTTAACATAGCTTTTTTTATTTTTTATTATTTTTTTTATTTATTTACTTTTACAATCTGTTCTATTATATATTGAACAATACCGGTAAGTAAATACTATGTAATTCGAAAAATTAACTTTGGAACATTAAAAATAGCTGTTAAGCACTCTCAACAACATTTTTTTCAATAAAAACACTTTACAAAAATCTGAAGGGCAGGTCCAGAATTGATGGCCTCTTAAGTCTGTAAATTGTATCCATGTTGTTTAATAAGTTAAGAGCTAAATGATTTTGATGAGATTCCAATTTCGTAATATATCGTTCACTTAAGGTCATGATTTCGTCCTTAACTGTAGGCATCTTAAGGTCTTGATGTAGTATGTCTACCATGGTATGTCTATTGCTGACATACCATGGTGCATTTGTTATCTTCCTCAGCATTGTTGATTGGTATCTTTCGAGAATTTCTATATTAGAAGTACTCGCTGAGCCCCATAGTTGCACTCCATATGTCCAGATTGGTTTCACTATAGTTTTATATAGCAATAATTTATTTTCTAGACTAAGTTTTGATTTTCTTCCGATGAGCCAATTTAACTGATTAGATTTTAAATTTAGTTGTTGCCGTTTTCTCCAAATGTGTGTTTTCCAAGTTAACTTCCTATCTAAATGGATACCTAAGTATTTAACCTCAGTTACTTCGGGAAGTTGGGTGTTGTTTATTGTGACAGGAGGACAAGAATTTTGATTTAGAGTAAAAGAAATGTGGACAGATTTAGTTTAATTAATTTTGATATCCATGTCTTAAACCAATCAGTAATTATGTTCAGATTTTGCTGTAAATTTAGAGAAGCTTGAAATGGATCACGATGAACAGACAAAACCGCAGTATCATCCGCAAATGTAGCAATTTCTACCAACTCATTTTCTGGGAGATCCGCTGTGTAGAGAATATACAAAATGGCCCGAGGACACTTCCTTGAGGAATCCCAGATTCAATTGGATGTAGGTTAGTGAGGACGTCTTGATATTTAATTTGGAAAGTCCTGTTTTGAAGGTAGGATTTTAAAATGCTATAAATTGAATGGGGTAAAAACTTTTTTACTTTATATAA